CTGGCCCAGCCTCTGTTCAGATATCAACCAGCACACCAATGCCTTCAATCAAGAAACAGTTTTCTAGGATTTACAGAGATACTCACAGGAACACCTCAGCAAGCAAGAGTCTAAAAGTGGCAGGCTAAAACCCGGAACTTCAATCAGTGGCTGATACCAAATGAGAGATTCCCTCCTGGGTACACAGAAGATTGGGTGATCTGGAAGGTGCTGAACAGACTGCACTCTAGAACCACAAGATGCAGAGCCAACCTGTCTTGCAGACATGCAGCGGCCAGGGTTGTATTAGAGCTTTACCATCACCTTTGTTAGAGTTTGGGAAGTTTTACCATCACCTTTGCAAGGTGTTTTTATGTGGGGGAGTCTTTTTGGGTTCAGGGTGGGTTGGGCTGTTTTAGTTTGGGTCTGGGTTCTGGATCAGGTTAGGTCAGGCAAGGCCTGTGGACTAGACAAGGTCAAGGCTTTGGGTTTATGTGCAATCCAACTATGCTAAGCCAATCAACAAGATCTTGGCATATGACTTTTACCAACATGGATAAAGACACCTCGCCATCACGAGAAAAAACACCCCCCCCCCCATCTGCCTCCCCAAGGACCTCATACCACAGTTTATATCCCCCATGAAGACCTAGGTTGCATTCTTGTGCGTAATCAGTATTATCTATCTATTTATTTATGACATATTAGCCCACCTTTCTCAACCATATGGTGACTCAAGGCAGGTTACAGATTATGAATCGCACATTCATAAAAGTGCGATTAAAAACAGTCAACATAACAATATAAAAACATATATAAAAACCATTAAAACATGTAGTCACTGATGTCATCTTGTTAAAATCGTTTTCCAGTAACATCGTCTGGCCATTCCATGTCCATCATTCATAGTTTCACGTTATCTATTCTGCTGCATTCTCAAAAGCTTGCTCAAAAGCCAAGTTTTTACCTTTTTTGGAAAGTCAGGAGGGAGGGGGACAATCTAATATCCCTGGGGAGGGAGTTCCATAGCCGGGGGCCACCACTGAGAAGGCCTGGTCTCTCGTCCCCGCCAATCCAGATGACTCCTTAATTACAGGGATCTGGGAATCTCTGGGAGGTCATAAAGAATGGGGCTGTTATGGGGAGGAAATTGAAAATCGGGAGGCGGATGGGGAAGGGGATGGTAACTAGACCCATATCGGTCCTTTTTAACTTGGGGAATTCTCCAATATAATAATTTTAATTCAGCCGGCATCTTAAGCACTCTGACACAGACACTATCTCAGCCCTGTTGACTTGTAAATGCCTTTATACATTTAATGTTTTAACTGTTTGCTATTATTAGATCTAGTAGTAAGGTAAAGGTTTTCCCCTGACATGAAGTCCAGTCATGTCCGATTCTGGAGTGTGGTGCTCATTTCCATTTCTAAGCCGAAGAGCCAGGTTGTCCGTAGACACCTCCAAGGTCATGTGGCCAGCATGACTGCATAGAGTGCTGTTATCTTCCTGCTGGAGCAGTACATATTGATCTATTCACATTTGCATATTTTCAAACTGCTAGGTTGGCAGAAGCTGGGGCTGACAGCGGAAACTCACGCCGCTTCCCGGATTCGAACCTGTGACCTTTTGGTCAACAAGCTCAGCAGCTCAGCACTTTAACCCGCTGCGCCACTGGGGCAGTAAATATGTCCTAAATGTTTAATTTATATATTTAAATTTCTAAGTTTGTTATTTTTGATTTGTTCTATAAGTATAACTTATGTTGTTTATTTTATTGTTTATTATTTGATCTGTTTGCTATGTTATGCCGGCATTGAATGTTTGCCAATTTTCTGTTGTAAACGGCCCCGATTCACCTCAGGGAGATAGGGTGGTATAGAAATAAAGTTTATTATTATTATTACTAGCCAACCACTGCCATGTGTTGCTGTGGCCCAGTCTGTGTATATGTGTTTTGTGTGTGTATATGTGTGTGTGTATATATATATATTTGTGTATATGTGTATATATGTGGTTTAGTGCATGTGTTGGATTTTTTTAAAAAAATGGTTTTGCAACTGTTTTCTGCTGTGTTTTTCAGTGTTTTTATGAGTGATTGTTACTCGCTGGCCTGAAAGGTGTATTATGTCCAAATTTGGTCTCAATTCGTCCCGTGGTTTTTGAGTTATATTAATCCCACAAATGAACATTACATTTTTATTTATATAGACTAGCGGTCCCCTGCCATGTGTTGCTGTGGCCCTGTCTGTGTATATGGGTTTTGTATGTGTATGTATGTGTATATGTGTGGTTTTGTGCATGCTATGTAACATAATTTTAATTTTTTTGGCTATTTAAGTCTCTCCCACTGTGTTGTTCAATGTTTTTATGAGTGATGGTCACTCGTTGGCCTGAAAAGTGTATTGTGTCCAAGTTTGGTCTCATTTTGTCCAGTGGTTTTTGAGTTATGTTAATCCCACAAATGAACATTACATTTTTATTTATATAGACCAGCCATCCCCTGCCACGCGTTGCTGTGGCCCACACGTGAGTTCCGTGTGGGAGGTTTGGCCCAATTCTATCATTGGTGGGGTTCAGAATGCTATGTGATTGTAGGTGAACTATAAATCCCAGCAACTACAACTCCCAAATGTCAAGATTCTATTTTCCCCAAACTCCACCAGTGTTCACATTTGGGCATATTGAGTATTTGTGTAGTGTTTGATCCAGATCCATCGTTGTTTGAGTCCACAGTGATCTCGCAATGTAGGTGAACTACAACTCCAAAACCAAAGGACACTGCCCACCAAACCCTTCCAGTATTTTCTGTTGATCATGGGAGAACTGTGTGCCAAGTTTGGTCCAATTCTATTGTCGGTGGGGTTCAGAATGCTCTTTGATTATAGGTGAACTATATATCCCAGCAACTACAACTCCCAAATGACAAAAACAATTTTTTGAGTGAAGGGCATACTGTTCTGTCGCCGCTGGGCCTGTATTTGGTTGGCTTTAAATATAGGATGTGTAACCTTTGCCCAGCAGGAAGCCAGGGGCCTAAGAAGAAGTTATCAGAGGTTTCCACTACAAAAGAGTCTTGATATGGCTTGAAAAATACAACAAAGTCTTTTATGAGTGAATCAAACAGGTACTTCAAAGCTTTCTGGATAAAGAATTAGTTCTCTCAATCTTGCCCACAGGGGACAGGCACTATCTTCAACAACCTTTCTCTAAAGGAAAATTCCCCTTTTTTAACTTCTCCCAAGGCTGACTAAAATCCAACCCTCACTGGTATGGGTTCTGCTGCCAGGCCGAACTGCTTCTCGAGCACTGAGAGGATCTACCAGCAAGGCAATGGATATTCTCCAGCTGGAGTTCTTTAGACCTTAAGGCTGTCTTCCTGAAAACACTCAAGGCTGTGGGAAGGCTTCCTTGGAGTTCTTAGGAGACTCTTACAGCTGTTCTCCCCTGGAAATTCTTTCCTTGGAGATTCTGTTAAGAGTTTCTGTGACCCTGGAATTCTTAAAGGTTGAAGCCTTTGTACAGGGGAAGCAACACACATCCCATACGTTGGTTAACCTGGCTGAAACTCAACATAAAATGGCTCACTTCCCTACCAAAGCCCAAAAAGGGGGTGGGACTAGGGAACCTAAGGATAATTGACAAGCAATTGACCCAATAACTGCAAAATAAGGAGAGCCATCTAACTGCAAAGGCATATAACTTCAAAATACATGCAGTATCAAACAGATGGCAAGATAAGCTGGAACTCCGGGTGCGGCTGTACCAAAACACATACCTTGGGTTGTTAGGTGTATTGTGTCCAAGTTTGATCTCATTTTGTCCAGTGGTTTTTGAGTTATGTTAATCGCACAAACGAACATTACATTTTGTTTATATAAATACACAGACCCCCCCCTTTTTTTTGTTGCATCTGAGCAGCACCTCAAGCGGCATCTACACTGTATAATTAACGCAGTTTGAGACCACTTGGGAATTGTATATGCTCTTTAGCTTTCTCTGCCGAAGAGTGCCAAAAACACACCCCCACGATTCCACAGCATTGAGCCACAGCAGCGAAAGAGGTGTTAACTTAAGCTGCATACATTCCACCCTAGGTAAAGGTAGGTAAAGGTAGTCCCCTGACATTAAGTCCAGTCATGTCTGACTCTGGGGTGTGGTGCTCATCTCCATTTCTAAGCCGAAGAGCCGGCGTTGTCCATAGACACCTCCAAGGTCATGTGGCCAGCATGACTGCATGGAGCGCCGTTACCTTCCCGCCGGAGTATTGATCTACTCACATTTGCATGTTTTCGAACTGCTAGGTTGGCAGAAGCTAGGGCTGACAGCGGAAGCTCACGCCGCTCCCCGGAATCGAACCTGCGACCTTTCGATCAACAAGCTCAGCAGCTCAGTGCTTTAACCCACTGCGCCACCGGGATATTATAAAAAATTGGTTTTGTCATTTGGGAGTTGTAGTTGCTGGGATGTATCGCTCACCTACAATCAAAGAGCATTCTGAACCCCACCAACGATGGAATTGAACCAAACTTGGCACACAGTTCTCCCATGACCAACAGAAAATACTGGAAGGGTTTGGTGGGCAGTGTTCTTTGGTTTTGGAGTTGTAGTTCACCTACATCCAGAGATCACTGTGGACTCAAACAATGATGGATCTGGACCAAACTCTACACGAATATTCAATATGCCCAAATGTGAACACTGGTGGAGTTTGGGGAAAATAGAATCTTGACATTTGGGAGTTGTAGTTGCTGGGATTTATAGTTCACCTACAATCACAGAGCATTCTGAACCCCACCAACGATAGAATTGGGCCACACCTCCCACACAGAACCCCCATGTGGGCCACAGCAACGCGTGGCAGGGGACGGCTAGTCTATATAAATAAAAATGTAATGTTCATTTGTGGGATTAACATAACTCAAAAACCACTGGACATTCCACCCTAGTGATGCTTTAAAGGGCGGAAGTTGAGCGCGGAAGTACTGGCACGGCTTCGGTGCGGCCGGAACTCGTGTCCCCCCTGCTCCCTCTATCGCGTTCCGCTTCAGCTTGGAACAGACCAGGGAGAGGCGAAGGGGGGCGCGGGCTCTACAGGAAGTGAGACGCCGCCGCCGCCGCCTCCCTTCGCGGCCCTCGGGGGTGTGTTCGGGAAGAGAAGGCTTCGTGGGACGAAAGCACGGGGCTGGAGGCTCTCTAGCGGCAGCGGCGGCGCCTGGAGATGGAGGACGGTGAGTGAGCGCTCTCGAGGCGGCGGTGCGCCTGCCTTCCCGTTCCGCCCGCCTCACCTGGTGGGAGAGGAAGAGCCAGAGCCTCCTCTTCATGTTGGAAGGGAGGGAGGCAGGCCGGAGGGAAATAGGGAGAGAAGAGCAGGTGAGGCCTCTTCAGGCCCGGGGCCAACTTGGGCCCGCCCTCCAGGTGTTTTGGACTTCAACTCCCACCATTCCTAACAGCCGGTAGGCTGTTAGGAATGGTGGGAGTTGGAGTCCAAAACACCTGGAGGGAGGGCCCAAGTTTTCTCTGGTTTGCTCCATCACATAAAAGTAAATGTTTTCATTTTACTTAATCAAGATTTCTTTGGGAAGTGTAAAGAAAAGAAAGAAAGGAGTCTTCAGAAGAATGTAGTTTGCTGGTGTCCAGCACAAATTATTATTATTATTATTATTATTATTATTATTGGATTAATAATAATCTAATAGGCTTTCAGAAGACTTTAGTTTGCTGATATCGAGCACTTATTATTATTATTATTATTATTGTTGTTGTTGGATTAATACTAGTCTAGTAGGCTTTCAGAGGACTTTAGTTTGATGATATCAAACACAAATTATTATTATTATTATTATTATTAGATTAATAAGAGTCTAATAGACTGTAGACTTAGTTTGCTGGTATCAAGCACAAATTATTATTATAGGATTAACAATATTCTAACAGGATTTCAGAAGACTTTAGTTAGATGATATCAAGCACAAATTATTATTATTATTATTATTATTAGATTAATAAGAGTCTAGTAGACTCTGAAAATTTAGTTTGCTGGTATCAAGTACAAATTATTATTATTGTTATTATAGGATTAATACTCTAACATTCTTTCAGAAGACTTTAGTTTGCTGATATCAAGCACTTATAATTATTATTATTGTGGGATTAATACTAGTCTAGTAGGATTTCAGAGTACACATTATTATTATTATTATTATTATTCGATTAATAAGAGTCTAATAGATTCTGAAAATTTAGTTTGCTGGTATCAAGTACAAATTATTATTATTGTTATTATAGGATTAATACTCTAACATTCTTTCAGAAGACTTTAGTTTGCTGATATCAAGCACTTATAATTATTATTATTGTGGGATTAATACTAGTCTAGTAGGATTTCAGAGTACACATTATTATTATTATTATTATTATTCGATTAATAAGAGTCTAATAGATTCTGAAAATTTAGTTTGCTGGTATCAAGTACAAATTATTATTATTGTTATTATAGGATTAATACTCTAACATTCTTTCAGAAGACTTTAGTTTGCTGATATCAAGCACTTATAATTATTATTATTGTGGGATTAATACTAGTCTAGTAGGATTTCAGAGTACACATTATTATTATTATTATTATTATTCGATTAATAAGAGTCTAATAGATTCTGAAAATTTAGTTTGCTGGTATCAAGTACAAATTATTATTATTATAGGATTAATAATAGTCTAATAGGCTTTCAGAAAACTTTAATTTGCTGGTATCCAGCACAAATAATAATAATAAGTCTATTAGACTAGTATTAATCCCACAATAATAATAATAATAATAATTGCTTGATATCAGCAAACTAAAATCTTCTGAAAGCCTATTAGATTATGATTAATTTATTATTATTATTATTATTATTATTATATTTATTTGTAAAATAATAATAATGGAGATGAGCATCATCCCCCAGAGTCAGACCCAACTAGACTCAATGTCAGGGGAAACCTTTACCTTTTAGTATAAATTGGAAGATGAATATTCTAAAGGAGTAATTAAATATGCAGTAAAAGGTAAAAGTTTCCCCTGACATTAAGTCTAGTCGAGTCCGACTCTACAGGGTGATACTCATCTCCATTTCTAAGCTGAAGAGCCGGCATTGTCCGTAGACACCTCCTAGATGATGTGGCTGGCATGACTGCACGAAGCGCTGTTACCTTCCCTTTGAAGCGGTACCTATTGATGTTTTCAAACTGCTAGCTTGACAGAAGCTGGACTCAACCGCTGACTTTCTGGTCAGCAAGTTCTGCAGCTTAGTGGTTTAACCCACTGAGCTACCACTGCCTCTTTTAAATATGCAATAGTTAGTAGCAATAGGCACATCAACATCTATTTCAAAACCAGAGTAGGAAGCAAGACCTCATCTTCCCTCAGTTATGGGTGGTTTAAGAGTATCAGCATAATAATTCTGCTTTACTTTTTCCGAGTTCTATAAGCAAACATACATTGGGCCCATTCACTGTAATGATGAGGTGGAATTTTCAAAATACCTGCCTTGACATGCATCAACCAGCATTCTGTGTGCTTGTTGGGTATTGCTGCCTGGACTGGAAGATGCTCAGCAAAGCACAGATGATTTGTTTAATGCTGACGAATTTTTCTCCCAACAAGAAAAATGCAAACTGAATTCTTTCTCTGACACACAGTAAGAAGAAACAGGTCAAACAGGAAGTTTTGAACATGTTCAGTTCAAGCACTTTCACATGACACTATTTTATTACCCTGACACCACTTTAATTGTCATAGCTCCATTGCATGGAAAACTAGAACTGGAATTTGAGGGGAAAGTATTTAAAATTCTCAGCCAGAGCTCTCTAGAGCTTTGCCAAACTAAAGGTTTCTGCAGAAGGCAGCTATGACATTTAAAGTGAAATTATACTGGTATAACTGTTAGGTTTTAGGCCTGTTCCTGGGGTTATTTGGGTCACTATTCGGAAATTGCAAAATACAAGAAAGGAGATTCCACCTGAACATTAGGAAAACTTCCTGACTGTGAGAGCTATTCAGCAGTGTCCCAGAGTGTGGTGGAGGCTCCTACTTTGGAGGCTTTTAAACAGAAGCTGGATGGCCATCTGTCAGGGGTGCTTTGTATTAGATTTTCCTGCTTCTTGGCAGGGGGTTGGACTGAATGGCCCACAAGGTCTCTTCCAACTCTTATGATTCTATGAATGGCCCATGGAGTTGTTCAGCAGTATTTATTTTGAGGGTCACAATTGTCAAAGCAGAAGTACATAATGCATCCTCTTGTTCCTTCAGTTCCCACTAACACAAACTAGCCTAACTAGTAGTGAGGAATACCAGGAATTGAAGTTACGATTTCCAGGAATTGCAGCTACGATTTGAATAACTGATGTCCAAAATTCCGGTTAATAATACTTGTAACTGATAACAAGAACACAGCTGAACAAATAAACAAAAAATCCTGGTGTCTTGGTTCTTAGGTTTGTTCCTGGGGCTATTTGGGTCACTATTCAGGAAATTGCATTGGATAGACTGCATCAGCTCTAGTATCTTAAATATGGTTATCATGATTTTCTGTGGGCGAGCAGAGTATATGGCATGTGGTCTGTATCTAAAAAACTAGAACTGATAGGGAGAAACCGATGCTATTTTTGGAATCAGCAGGTCAAATATACCTGGAATCTGGTCTAATATTTCAGGAACCAAAGTGTGTATTGGCCAGTGTCATAATTTGAATTCCATTAGTCTTGACTCATGAATAATATTGGAAAAATATATACAAATAATGAGCAAGTCAGGGGAACAGACGGAAGTGAAAATTCAGATACCAAGTGGCTTTATCAAAAGCCAGATGGCCTCAAGCAACTTTGTGCTTGCGTAGTTAGGTAAATGGATTATACATCCTTCTATCCATTTTAGAGTCTGCTGAAAGAAAATGTAGATTTTACTTGAGTTCACAGCAGGGGCAAGTACTGTACTATGTAGATATATATCTCCATATAGATCTTTGAGCAATTGCAGCCCATGACACATCACTGCTTGGCAATTTCGTTGTTTTCATGGCAGTTGGTTTATAGGTTCCTTGGATTTCAAGAACCGGATAAAACTGTTTGACATGAACATAAACACTGAAGCAGCCAAACTGCATGATAAGCACAGTCATCTGGTTCCAGCAATGACCAGTTGCAATGTGGAAATTCACAAACGAGAGCTGGCTTTTCTGGTATTCAATATCTTGATAGTATTTTTGCCTCTGGACACAGACATTCCATTTAGCTATTGAAGCTTATGGTTAAGAGCTTTGACTGTTCCGTCACTTCATGGCTGTGGTCCTTTGGAAACGCTAATAATCCCAATTAGTTTATAGAGTAAAAGATCTTAGGTCTATTATTAGTACTCACCTTGCTTGACTTTCATTTCACGTTGTGAAAAAAGCATTTAAACCTTCCTTATTTTGAAAGCCAACAGATTGAACAGGTGTGACATACTTCTGTATTGTGGTAGTAGTTCAGCAGGGCTACAAAATCAACATACATAAATGCTACAACTTTGTACCTTGCCTCTACATTTCATCAAAAGTGAAAGTTACTACATATGTATGTGATTTAACCAATTGCTCTACATTAGATATAAGATTTGGATATTTTAATGTTGGGTTTTTTTTTGCCACGGTCTGCAAATTTTTCTGTCATCAATAAGAAATTGAAATTCTAACTGTAAAAATTGTGACTCCCTTTATCTTGTCTATGGGTCAACACTGTAGAATTAATGCCATTACACATCATTTTAACTGTAATGGTTGAATACTATAGAATCCAGGGAGTTGTAGTTTGCTGAGGCACCTGCACTCTGAGGCAGAGAAGGCTGACAGCTTTGTAAAACTACACTTCCCAGGGTTCCATAGCACTAGGCCATTGTAGTTAAAGTGGTGTCAAACGGCATTCATCCTACAGTGTAGAATCATAGAATAATGAGTTGGAAGAGACCACATGGGCCATCTAGTCCAATCCCCTGCCATGCAGGAAAAACATAATCAAAGTATCTCTGACAGATGGCCATCCAGCCTTTATTGAAAAGCCTCCAAGGAAGGAACTTCCACCACACTCCAAGGCAGGGAGTTCCACTGCTGAACAGCTCTCACAGTCACAAAGTTCTTCCTAATGTTTAGCTGGAATCTCCTTTCCTATAATTTGAACCCATTGCTCTGAGTCCTAGTTTCCAGAGCAATAGCTGAAGACGAGTTTGTCGGGTGCAGCTCAGGGGTTCATGGTCTCCATGACTAACATGGGCCTTTCCCAACTGGTTTCTGGATCTACGCCTTTGGCAGGTCATACTTTTGGTGTACTTTTCAACATGGAGCATACCAATCTGTGGGCAGAGTTGTCACTGGCAGATCCCTTTCTGGTCAGTGCTAGCATCACAGCTGCAACCAACCCCTCTCCTAGGCTAATGGATCATTTGAGATTCCAGGAGGCAAGCAATCACAAGCAAATCTCATGCAAAACTCCTCTGACCTACTTACTAGAAGTAATTATGGGGACTAAAACCTGCAAAGGCCATCACACTAAAATATAGGATTTAGCGTTTGTATAGATGTACCTTGCATTCTATAAAATGATCAGAATAATTTGACTCTATTGTTTGAAGCAGTACCATAGTAGACTGAGAAGGAGGTAACCTTAAGAATTGCAGCTCACATGATTTTCCAGTCACAGCTCAAGTTAACCATGTTGAATAGGGGTTATTAGGAGTTGTAGTTGGAAATATAACCTTTCCGGGGTCTGATCGTATTTGTAGCAGAGAGTGGGCAACTTTAGAAAATCTGCAAGGCAATTTTCATACATACCAACCCACTGTACCCCATACCAGTCCTTTCTGTTGAAATGGAGGCAAACAGAAGTCTAATTTAGTTTTTTTGTGGGGAAATCATTTTAAAAGTTTCAAAAGCAAAACAAGAAATAAAATAGTTGCCTGTTGTGCTTAGAAGGAGCATCACACATCCTGAAGTGCATTCACTGTTTGAAAATGAAGCACTGCTCCAAGGCTTAATTGTGGTGAGCTCTTTGTTGTGCTTGCCTCCTTCAGAGGCAATCACAAGTGGCACCTACAATCATATATTTTGCAGGCTTCCATCCTCAATATTAGGGGTCTCCAAAGTCTGGTAATTACTCCCTCTTATTATGTTTTGGCTTCGTAAGTAATGATTGACTTTGTGTATGTTTGAAATAGAGGGAATGGTAGAATTCTATTATCCTGTGCTTTGCTTTCTTTTGAGCACAGTGGGAATGACTTCTGAGTAGAAATGAATAATGTTGTACATATGCACTCTAATCTGTTTTTCTGTGGGAGCTGTACATGCCTGCTCCAAAAGAAGTCCTTATGAGTACGAGACGTAACTTCTAAATGTAACTTCTAAATGTGTTTTCAGGCTCTGCGCATCTAAGTCAAAGAAGGAAGCCTAACTGTCCAAATGTTAAAGAGGAAGCTCCCAAAAAAGACAACGAGGAAAGCAAAAAATCAAAACGATCTCCGAGATGTGAGTTGCATCATATTTTTTCTCTCTTTTGATGTTTCACTTCTGTCATAATACAATTGCAAATAGGCGTAAGATTTGTGAGTACAATAAAACTACAGGTAAGTGTAATATTTGTGGGTAGTAAAATTGCTTTTAGAGGATTAGAGAAGGAGGAGGAAGAGATTTTAAATTATTTGCTTTCTCTACATTCACTGACTCCTCTTTCAACAGCTTTTTCGCCCCAACAAAGTTCTAAGTTCTAGATACATAATTCTGCAAATTAAGACTTGTTAGAGCTCCAGAGAAAAGCAAAACAGCTCTTGGGTACATTATAAGTCCAAAGACTGTTGAAACCATCTAGCAGTTATGGCTTTGCATGGCTGCATTTCATAGAATCATAGAGTTGGAGGAGACCTCGTGGGCCATCCAGTCCAACCCCCTGCCAAGAAGCAGGGAAATCGCATTCAAAGCACCCCAGACAGATGGCCATCCAGCCTCTGCTTAAAAGCCTCCAAAGAAGAAGCCTCCACCACACCCCGGGTTTGTTTCACTTTGAAACAAACCTTTAACCTTTTAGGGCTTTGTTGCACATACTTGGATGTAATATATATAATTGCACCTTCCAGTGTTTGTTTTGTTTTGGAGGCTAAAAGAACCTGATTTCTTTTTGTCCACTCAAACTAGCCTGAATGTCTTAGGACAAACTCCTTGAAGTAAGATTGAACTGCTAGTTCAAGCAACTTTTTCTGTATGAAATGGATGTGCGCATGTCTCTTATCTTAGGCAACTGTAGGTCTTAGGCTGATCCTGTTGACCAGGTTACCAGAATTACTTTAGAAAACTTGAGCACTGGGTTAGAAAAACTGTTTTGATAATGAAAGACTGCTCTTTGGGTGCAAAATGAACAACTTCCAACATTCATTTTCAGATATCTTAATCCCACGTTTTGCAAAGCTTTTTTTCGGCTGTCTTGCCGCAATTTTAAGTGGAATGATGTATGCCATATACCTCTCAACATACCATGAACGGAAATTCTGGTTCTCTGGCAGACCGGTAAGGAAATAGAATTATTTTTTAAGAAAATTAAGTTGTATTCAGAAATAAAAGGGGGGGGGGGGGTAGAGAAGACACAAGCAATACAAGTCATTTTTCATCATATATAAAACTACTACATCTAACATGAAATCCAAGACAATCATCCTTACCTAAAACATGCCTAAACTAATAAACACATACTAGACAGACAACTTCTAGAACTAAATCTATGAACCTCACACTCATTGTCTGTTGCTTTTAACCCTTTGTTTTCCTACTCCCTTTAAATAACGTTATATGCCCACACTTCTATTTTTTATAACACTCCTCTAATTCTTAAATTCAATAGTTGAAGTTTGCCCCCATCTTTTCTTCAGAAAGGTGATAAATGAAGTCCTAATGTTTCTTAAAGTTAGCTAGTGATTTCTCCTTGATCATAGAATCATAGAGTTGGAAGAGACCTTGTGGGCCATCCAGGCCAATCACCTGCCAAGAAGCAGGAAAATCGCATTCAAAGTACTTCTGACAGAAGGCCATCCAGTTTCTGTTTAAAAGCCTCCAAGGAAGGAGCCTCCACCACACTCTGGGGCAAAGAGTTCCACTGCTGAACAGCTCTCACCATTAGGAAGTTCATCCTCATGTTCCTGTGGAATCACTTTTCCTGTAGATCAGTGGTTCTTAACCTGGGGTCCCCAGATGTTTTTGGCCTTCAACTCCCCGAAATCCTAACAGCTGGTAAACTGGCTGGGATTTCTGGGAGTTGTAGGCCAAAAACATCTGGGGACCCCAGGTTGAGAACCACTGTTGAAGATTGAAGCCATTGTTACACGTCCTAGTCTCCAGGGCAGTGGAAAACAAGCTTGCTCCCTCCTCCTTATGATTTCCTCTCACATCTTTATACATGGCCCTCATCATGTCTCCTCTCAGTCTTCTCTTCTACAGGTTAAACATGTCCAGCTCTTTAAGCCACTCCTCATAGGGCTTGTTTTCCAGACCCTTGATCATTTTAGTCGCCCTCCTCTGGACACATTGCAGCTTCATTTGTGGTGCCCAGAATTGGTTGCAGTATTCCAGGTGTGGTCTGACAACAGCAGAATAGAGAGGTAGCATGACTTGCCTGGATCTAGACACTAGACTCCTATTTATGCAGGCCAAAATCCCATTGGCTTTCTTAGCTGCCGCATGACATTGTTGGCTCATGTTTAACTTTTTGTCTGTAAGGACTCCAAGATCTTTTCACACCTACTGCTGTCAAGCCAGGCATCGTCCCCCATTCGGTATCTTTGCATTTCATTTTTTCTGCATAAGTGGAGCATCTTGCTTCTGTACCCGTTGAACATCATTTTGTTAGTTTTGGCCCATTTCTCTAATATGTTAAGATCCTTTTGAATTCCGCTCCAGCATTGTCTGTATGTCCATCTCAGTTAATTCACAAATCTTCATTAGTCATTCTTCTTCTGTTGAGAAAACTGTTTTTTTCCATCTATATGCCTAGATGATTCTTGCTGCAATAATGATATATTGTAGTAACGTTCCACATTTTCTCTCCTGGAAATAACTGTTCAGATAGGAAGTAGAATCAGTTTTAAACAATGCAAAGGGATCCTACCACTTCTTTTTATACTAACATAAATAAACCTGTCCTTTCCTGTAATATCTATAATTGTATTACCTTGAAAGCACATAACAATGAATAGTAAGCTGTGTTGATTCAGGTCATTTCTATGGAAGCAAATGACTTTTCCCATTTTTTAAAAAAGAAACCGAAATATGGTATGCCAAAATATTTTTGTTGTTGTTGTTGTTGCCATGAATATCATTTTGTTTTGTTCTTCTTCTAGGAGCTTGAGCGGGAAATCACATTTCAGGGTGATAGTGCTATTTACTACTCATTTTACAAAGAATTAATAAAGGCACCTTCCTTTAAAAGAGGTAAGGCAATTTGCCATAGCTTGGGGAAGCATAGCTGGGGGATTTGGGGAATTAAAAGAAAAATATTTCCAACAAATAGAGACTTGAGATAAAATCAAACAAGTTATAAGTACTTGTCAGGTTACTAATTTGATAGATATCTCAAAATTGTAGAAAAAGTGTGCAAATTTTCAAACTGCATAGAAGCAGGTAGAATAAAAAAAGCTCAACAAAATCTCAAGAAAGTTTCTGCATCTTCTGACTAACCATCTGAGGGCCCTTCCACATAGCCATATAACCCAGAATATCAAGACAGAAAATCCCACAATATCTGCTTTGAACTGGTTTATCTAAATCCACACTGCCATATATTCCATTCAAAGCAGATAATGTGGGAATTTTTTTTAGCTGTGTGGCAGGGGCCTGAATTGTGACAATTTTCACCTGAGTTATTCCTTGCTTTTTGTTTGTGTCTATTTTTAATTCTGTTTTAGGCTCAGTAGTCTGAAAACATAATACTTAGTTGAAGGAGGGGCATAGACATGATCAGTTCCTGAATGGGAATATTGTGTTTTATTTAATTCCATAGAGAAGTTGAGTACCTCTGTTAATGCAGTAAGGTATTAACAGTGATGAAACACCCAGTAGCACTGTTTATTTGGACTATGATTTTAATGTAAGCTGCATTTGCATTTTACAGTGAGCCATGCAAAGGTATGTAAATCTAAATTGCATTGTATAGGACCATGCAAATCAGGGAAATGGCATGCTTGGAGGGTCAGATGCTATGGCAAGCCAGAATTTATAAGACAACAAAAAGCTATGGTTTTAGATTGTGGTTGATAGCTAATAAATAAGTTAAAAAATGCATTGCAACAAGGGAAATTTCAATAACTAACACTGTCATTGTCATGATTTGAAGACATAGAGAATATAGCAGAACTTGCTAGTGAGTTGCAAGATAGATGCTGAATTTCAGAGGTGCCATAGTTAAGATAATAGGGGGGAATACTGTTTGTTTCACCTAATTCCCTGAAAAGTTAGCATTCATGGAATCATAGAGTTAGTTGGAAGAGACCAGAAGGGCCTTCTAGGCCAACCCTATTCCGCCATGCAGGAAAATACAATCTAAGCACCCCCAACAGATGGCCATTCACTCTCTGCTTAAAAACCACAAAAGAAGGCGAGTCCACCAAACTTCAAGGCAGCATATTTCACAGTCAATTAGCTTTTACCATTGCGAAGTTCTTCCTAATGTTTAGACAAAAATTATTTTCCTGCAACTTGGATCGATCATTCTGTGTCCTCGTTCCTAGAGCAGCAGAAACATCCATTGCAATAAATCAATGCGTCATTGCTTTTTATTCTCTTCATAAACATAATAATAGCTTGGAAAAGTTGCCTCTTTGAACTCCAGCTCCCAGGATCTCCAATGAGCTTGGCCAATGAACGTGTTAACTGAGAGATCCTGGAAGGTGTCTTCTTTTCCTCAATAATGATAATAATAACCCCAAGATCTGTCATGAATATAACAAAATGGCACCAAGCACATTTTTTGCAGGACTTTATGTCCTTGAAAATCTAAAGGCACTTTCTAAACCCTCATATGTACAGTGGAGATATTGTACAACTTCAGAAAAAGCATTTGTGGGGTAGCAGGGATTAAATATTTTAGAAACGTTCTGCTCACTTGATCATGAGACACTGCATAAATAACTCAGGTTGTTCATCTCCTCCTCATTATCCGCAGGCATTTATCAGCTTACCCACGATAACAGCACTCTCTCAATGAAGACCATGAATGTTGTGCGACAGATGACTTTGTACCCAGAGTTGATTGCCAGCGTCTTGTATCAAGCATCTGGCAGTGAAGTATGTATCGTTCTCTTGCTTTTTAGCATTGAGTATTCCTGAGTATTAAGTGGAAGGAATCTCTCGCTGATGCAAAACTGGCTTATATTCATAGCATTAATTTTGTACCCAGAGGCTTCAAGAGCGCATGACAAATCAAGATTCTGTGCAATGATAATGCTTCTTATACTCTGAATCAAATGCACGTCATCCAGGATTTTGAATTGATCCCCTTTACTGCAACAGTGGCCCCTTCCACACAGCTGCATAAAATCCCACATTATCTGTTTTGAACTGGGTTATATGGCAGTGTGGACTCAGGTAAATCAGTACAAAGCAGATATTGTGGGACTTTTTGCCTTGGTATACTGGATTATATGGCTGTATGGAAGGGCCCAGAAAGAGAAGCACCCGAAAGAAGCAAATCTTAAATTAGAAATGACTGATGGGGAACTTTAGATCTTTTAAGCTACCATTTTCACTGTCGTCTTAGCATTGGCCATGTGATATAGGACTGTTTGGAGCTGAAAATGAAAACATTGTGAAATACGAATGTCCTCCATTCCTCCTAAAAGAACTGCATCTATCAAAATGCCTTGAGTTTTAATTTGTTTTTATTGTAGTTGTAGTAGTGAGGTTGCCAAAAATACAATGAAGTTAACTGCTTGTTTGTTTGATGGAAGGCCTCCTAAGCAAATGCCTGTGTTTCTTTTTAATGGCTGGGATGTATTCCCTCTTGTCAAATTCTTCTGATAATTGGATATTTGGGGTGACAGAAAGTTGCCACTGCTGTTCCTTTTTCAAGTCAAGTTCATGTTTACATTTGTGAATTTCAAATAGTGTTAATTTTGATCCAGCTATTAACACCCTCTATACCAGGCATGAGAAGACTTCGGCTCTCCAGGTGTTTTGGACTTTAACTCCCACAATTCCTAACAGCCTACTGGCTGTTAGGAATTGTGGGTGTTGAAGTCCAAAACACCTGGAGGGGCGAAGTCTGCCTATGCCTGCTCTATACTATTATTAGATTACAGTTTTACAAATCCTTTAAAAATGTTTTACAATTTTGTTTTACAAATCTTTTATTTTCAGGATGTTATAGAACCAGTATATTTTTACATTGGCATCGTCTTTGGACTGCAGGGGATCTATGTGACTGCCTTGTTTGTAACCAGCTGGCTGATGAGTGGGACTTGGCTTGCTGGAATGTTGACAGTTGCCTGGTTCATTATAAACAGGTAAAGCAAGCCTTTAAAAAATAGGCTTACATGGTGTAAATTTCACTCTCTTTCGCAGTGGTCTCAACCTGTGAGTCCCCAGATGTTTTGGCCTTCAACTCCTAGAAATCCTAACAGCTGGTAAACTGGCTGGGACTTCTGGGAGTTGTACCTGGTGTTTTTACCTGGGGACCCACAGGTTGAGAGCTACTGCTTTATAGGGTTTTTGGATAGTGAAACAGTCCACAAATTATGTGAAAAAGGACTTGCACTCAGGCATACCACATATATTTTGTCATTTTGCTTGGTTGTTTACCTAATAATAATAGTAATATTATTATTATTATTATTATTATTATTATTATTATTATTATTATTTATATCTCGCCCCTTCTCCCCAAAGGGATTCGGGGCAGCTTACAACAGTCAAGCAATTCAGAAAAATATATAGCAATAAACAATATACAACAAAACAATTATTACTTAGTACAATTAAAACGACATAATAATATCAGTATTTTTTTTTTATGTCAGGAGCAACTTGAGAAACTGCAAGTTGCTTCTGGTGTGTGAGAATTGGCTGTCTGCAAGGATGTTGCCCAGGTGATGCACTACAGAGATTGAAATGTTGATGCCAAAGAATGTAAATCTTGGTTCCAGTGGAAATTCTTTCTGGTCATACAAGAAATTTAGGATTAGATAGCAAGGCTAATTATGTTCATCCTAGAAAGTTTCCTGTCATTTATAACATTGCTCCTGGTACATTATGTTTCACATCACATAACAGAAAATGTGTGTTTTGGAAGCCGCTCAGTACACATTCATTCTCCTTTTTGTCTTTCTATATCTTTTTTTAGGGCTGACACAACAAGAATAGATTACTCTATCCCTTTAAGAGAAAATTGGGCCATGCCATATTTTGCTTGCCAAGTTGCAGCTTTGACTGGTTATTTAAAGAACAACTTAAACTCATCTGCTGAGGTAAGATGAAAATACTAAAAATCGCTGTAATGGGCAATGTGCTAATGGTATAAATAGGGTATGTAGAGATGTGACATGTTTGTCCATTGTTATATGTAGCATTTTAATTATATAGGATTTAATGGTGTATTTTATATTGTATTTAATAATCTGGTTTTCATGTATTTATTTGTTTGCCTTATTTGTGAAAGATCTGTGGTCTAAGCATCGAATAAACTTGGAAACTTGGACAAGTTTGTCCAATAAACCATGGGCAGGGAGTTAACTTAGTTGGCTTTCTTTTCCCCTTCCTTACCTGGCTTTGAGGAAGATACTGTGGTTTGTCTGTGTATGTCTATATACGTTGTATGTCTAATTGGCATTGAATGTTTGCCATATATGTGTACATTGTAATCCGCCCTGAGTCCCCTGCGGGGTGAAAAGGGCGGAATATAAATGCTGTAAATAAATAAATAAATTGTAAACATCAAAATAGGAACTATATTTTTCCTGGGGCATGATATCCTTGTCCACTCTTGTTATATGATATCCGTTTATCCTACATCAGCTCCTTTTCAAGACTTAACATTCTTTCCCAGTCTTTTGTTTTCAAAGCAAGCTTCTAGTTCATAGTCTAAACCAGTAGTGGGAAAAGTACAACTCCATAGATATATTTTTTTTTGTCGTGTCAGGAGCGACTTGAGAAGCTGCAAGTTGCTTCTGATGTGAGAGAGACATTGCCCAGGGGACGCCCGGATGTTTTGATGTTTTTACCATCCTTGTGGGAGGCTTCTCTCATGTCCCTGCATGAGGAGCTGGAGCTGATAGAGGGAGCTCATCTGCGCTCTCCCCGGATTCAAACCTGCGACCTGTCAGTCTTCAGTCCTGCCAGCACAGGGGTTTAACCCACTGGGGGGGGCTCCTCCATAGATGTTGAAGTGCCAGCATTCCTTGGCATTAACCATGCTGCCTGGACCTAATTGTAACTGCAATTCATCAACATCTGGATTTTTGTAATTTGCAAACTGCTGGCTAAGTCCCACTTAACACAGTCATATTGACTCAGTGGCCTACTAAACTGGCCCCCTCTCCGCTCTCCTTTCTTTTGACTAATAAGGGGAGCCTCTTATTAGGATACGTGCTTTATTTATTTTTAATGTCTTTTGAGTAATTTTATGCCACTCAGTGTGATGATTTTAAGTCATTTAAATATGTTATTGTTAATTTTAAAAGCTGATTATCTTTGGGAACTGCTACTCTGGGAGAAAGACAGCATACAAATTCAATAAATAGAATGTATTTAAATGTTGATTTACTTACATGCACATTTATAAAGGTTCCATTGATTCAATTAATCTGCTTTAGCAGAAACTAGCAATTAGATTTAGTCTGATATCCCTGCAATAGTTATTTTGACAATGAAGTGGCATCTGTGTCTGTCTAATGCAATTCCTGCCTCCAAGCTAGTTGCTCAACCAGCCTTACAGTTCTAATGGGTTAAAACAGATTCAAATATTAATTGACCCATCTGAGAACTAGCACATGGGAAACCACATTGGATTGTATCCAAGGTGACATATATAAAGCTTCCACCACCTTCATCGTTGCAACACAGTGAGATCTAGTAGTCTGTTTCCACTTGTGAAGATTGTAATTTTGTAATGGTTTATTGTAGCTTCGTTTGGATATATATATATTGTCAGAAATATTAAAAATTAACTAGGTATTTTTAATTACAAAAAATGAGTTAAGCACTGAAAGGGTTAAATGAATACAATGACTCTGCAAAAGCTGCACATCAATATAAGCAGATGTGCCTGTAGCATAGTAGACCTCAGTCTGTAAGAGGTCTCTATGGGAGAAGGGCCATAGTGTGTTAGGTAGGTCTCAGTATGAGAAGGCCTCAGTGCTAGTTCACCTCAGTGAGGAAAAGGCCTCAGTTTGAGAGAGCCCTCAGAGTGATCAAGGCCTCTGTATAAGAAGCCTCTCAGTGTTAGTAGGCCTCAGTTTGAGAAGGCCTGGTGTGAGAAGCTTCAATGAGAGAAGCCCCAGGTTGAAGGCCATCCTGTGTGAAGGCTGCTGTGCATAAAAAGCTACTGTGTTAAGCTCCTGTGTAACTTCAGTGTGAGAGGAGGCTCTGTGAGAGTGAAGCTGTTTATCTGCATGAGAAAGAAGCCCAGTGTGGAAGCAAAGAAGGAAGTATAAAGAGCTTTATTTGTGTTATGGAAACCTTGTTTGTTTATTTATTTATTTACTATATTTAAATACCACCCTCTCAGCCCAGAGGCGACTCGGAGTGGTTCACAAATAAATTCTTGTAAATAGTACAACCAAATTATTTTGCTATAAAGAAAAGCCTTGGTCTGTGTGTTTTTGTTCTTTTTATCACTTTTGGCTACTGGTGCTGGGTTACACTGCTGCTGCTAAGCTACTCTGCCGTACATTTATGAGGAAAGTCTTTTGTTAATAAGCCCACTCACCCAACATAATTTCATCTACTAACAGCTGTGCAAGCGCTAGCAGAACAAGAAAAGTTTTTGAAGGTTTCCTGATAACATAACACTGGAAACCATCCTTGCCTTGGATTGAAAGGTGTACTGTGGCTGTGGTTTTCTTCTTTCCTCCCATCATCTCTCCATGATCTGGGAGGAACACATTTAGAAGTCCATGATGTACTTAGATTTATTGCAATAGGATTTTTTCTTACAATTTGTCTGAATCCAGTTTTTGTGAAGGTGGTCAACTCAATGTGTTTCTCATTTCTAATTTTCTTGTTTTAAACTAGGAAAAATAACATAATATAACTTCCTTATAGTGAATTAAGGAGAAGAGCGCAATGCTCTGCATGCTTACTAAAACATTACTGAATAAGTACAGTTTCTAAGTAGACTTCACTAAAACCATGCTATAAAAGATTCCCTTTCTTATTATTCCTGTTGAAACTCTGAGCCCAACAAGTTCTGTGTAGCAAAAATGAATCTGGAGTCATTCAAGGCTTTGATGTTTAAAGATGACCTAATTAAGGCTATTGTTTTTCCCCTTCTTCACCAGAGATTTTGTTACCTGCTGGTCAGTGCTTCAACATACACTTTTATGATGATGTGGGAATACAGTCACTATCTCCTGTTCATCCAGGCTATTTCTCTCTTTCTGCTAGATCTCCTAGGTCTTACACAGACTGAGAAGGTATTTTAACATGTGAAACATATTTATTAAATTGTACGGTTTTTATTTTGTTTTGTTTTTTGCACATTTTCTGAAAGTTTCATTGGATGATTTTGGGTTGGGCACATATTTGTATAGTATAACTCTATAGCAAAGAGATTCTAAGGCTGCTATTTATTTATTTTATTTATCATGTCAGAAGTGAGTTGAGGGTACAGTTAACATGTATTTAAAAAAACAAACAGCATTTTAAAAAACCTTGGCATTATGTTAAATTCCTTACCAGAAGCTGGCTACTTGGAGTGCCTCTAGTATCACTGTGAAAAGGTCCTCCATTGTGCATGTGGCAGGGCTCAGACTGCATTGTAGTAGGTGATCTGTGGTTTGCTCTTCTCCACACTCACATGTCATGGACTCCACTTTGAAGTTTTCAAATGTTTGTTCCCTTTTAGGCAACATTATGAGCATCTCCAGCAAAGGATTGCCACCTTGTTGCGGTGCTGGAGCTTGAGCACCTCAATGATGTCGCAAGTGAAACCGTGAAGGGCCACCCAAGACGGGACAGTCTTGGCAGAGAGGTCAGACCAAGCATGATCCCTGGGGAAGGCAATGACAAACCACCCCAGTATTCTTGCCAAGAACAGTATCCTTGCCAAGTACAACCAGAGATATGTCGGTATGCCATTGGAAGATGGGACTCCCAGGTCGGAAGATGGCCAAAATGCTACTGGGGAGGAGCAGAGGATAAGTTCAACTAGTCCCAGATGTGAGGACGCAGCTAGACCAAAGCTGAAAGGAAGGCTAGTGGCCGACGGTGCTGGAGGTGCATGACGAATCCGATGCTCTAAAGATCCACACACCATAGGAACCTGGAATGTAAGATCTATGAGCCAGGGCAAATTGGATGTTGTTATTGGTGAGATGTCAAGACTAAAGATAAGACATTCTGGGGGTCAGCGAACTGAAATGGACTGGAATGGGCCACTTCACATCAGATGACCACCAGATCTACTACTGCGGACAAGAGGAACATCGAAGAAATGGAGTAGCCTTCATAATTAATAAGAAATTCGCTAAAGCGGTGCTTGGATACAACCCAAAAAATGACAGAATGATCTCAATTCAAGTGCAAGGAAAGCCTTTCAACATCACAGTGATCCAAATATACACCCCAACCACAGCTGCTGAAGAAGCAGAAGTAGATCAGTTCTATGAGGATCTGCAGGACCTACTGGATAATACACCAAAAAGAGACATTATTTTCATTACAGGAGACTGGAATGCCAAGGTGGGAAGTCAAATGACAACTGGGATCACAGGCAAGCATGGTCTGGGAGAACCAAAATGAAGCGGGACGCAGGCTGATAGAATTTTGCCAGGAAAACTCGCTGTGTATAACGAATACTCTCTTCCAACAACCTAAAAGACGGCTTTACACATGGACCTCTCCAGACGGTCAGCACCGAAATCAGATTGACTACATCCTTTGCAGCCAAAGGTGGCGGACATCCATCCAGTCGGTGAAAACAAGACCTGGGGCTGACTGTAGCTCAGATCACGAACTTCTTATTGCCCAACTTAGAATAAAACTAAAGAGATCAGGGAAAATACACAGACCAGTTAGATATGATCTCACTAACATTCCTAGCGAATATACAGTGGAAGTGAAGAACAGATTTGAAGGACTAGATTTAGTAAACAGAGTCCCAGAAGAACTATGGACAGAAGTCCGCGACATTGTTCAGGAGGCGGCAACAAAGTACGTCCCAAAGAAAAAGAAAACCAAGAAGGCAAAATGGTTGTCTGCTGAGACACTGGAAGTAGCCCAAGAAAGGAGGAAAGCAAAGGAAACAGTGAAAAGGGGAGATATGCCCAGTTAAATGCGCAATTCCAGAGGTTAGCCAGAAGAGATAAGGAACTATTTTTAAATAAGCAATGCATGGAAGTGGAAGAAGACAACAGAATAGGAAGGACAAGAGACCTCTTCCAGAAAATTAGAAACATTGGAGGTAAATTTCAGGCAAAAATTGGTACGATAAGAAACAAAGATGGCAGGGACCTAACAGAAGCTGAAGAGATCAAGAGAAGGTGGCGAGACTATACAGAAGATCTGTATAGGAAGGATAATAATATTGAGGATAGTTATGACGGTGTGGTGAATGAATTAGAACCAGACATCCTGAGGAGTGAAGTTGAATGGGCCTTAAGAAGCATTGCTAACAACAAGGCAGCAGGAGACGACGGGATCCCAGCTGAACTGTTTAAAATCTTAAAAGATGATGCTTTCAAGGTGATGCATGCCATTTGCCAGCAAATATGGAAAACACAAGAATGGCCATCAGACTGGAAAAAATCAACTTATATCCCCATACCAAAAAAGGGAAATGCGAAAGACTGCTCAAACTTCCGTACAGTGGCCCTTATTTCACATGCCAGTAAGGGAATGCTCAAGATCCTGCAAGGAAGACTCCAGCAATACATGGAGAGAGAGTTGCCAGATGTTCAAGCTGGGTTTAGAAAAGGCAGAGGAACGAGAGACCAAATTGCCAATATCCTCTGGATAATGGAGAAAGGCAGGGAGTTTCAGAAAAACATCTACTTCTGCTTCATTGACTATTCTAAAGCCTTTGACTGTGTGGATCGTAATAAATTGTGGCAAGTTCTTGGTGGGATGGGCATCCAAGCCACCTTGTCTCTCTCCTGAGGAATCTGTACAAGGACCAAGTAGCAACAGTCAGAACTGACCACGGAACAACAGACTGGTTCAAGATTGGGAAAGGCGTACGGCAGGGCTGCATACTCTCACCCAACCTCTTTAACTTGTATGCAGAACACATCATGCGATGTGCGGGGCTGGATGAATGCAAAGCTGGGGTGAAAATTGCTGGAAGAAACATTAACAACCTCAGATATGCAGATGACACCACTCTGATGGCCGAAAGCGAGGAGGAGCTGAGGAGCCTTCTAATCAAGGTGAAAGAAGAAAGCGCAAAAGACGGGTTGCAGCTAAACGTCAAAAAAACCAAGATTATGGCAACAAGAATGATTGACAACTGGAAAATAGAGGGAGAAATCGTGGAGGCCGTGACAGACTTTGTATTTCTAGGTGCAAAGATTACTGCAGATGCAGACTGTGGCCAGGAAATCAGAAGACGCTTACTTCTTGGGAGGAGAGCAATGTCCAGTCTCGATAAAATAGTGAAGAGTAGAGACTTCACACTGGCAACGAAGATCCGCATAGTTAAAGCAGTAGTATTCCTTGTAGTAACCTATGCATGCGAGAGCTGGACGACAGAGAAGGATGAGCGAAGGAAGACAGATGCTTTTGAACTTTGGTGTTGGAGGAAAGTTCTGAGAGTGCCTTGGACTGCCAAAAGATCCAACCAGTCCCTACTTCAGGAAATAAAGCCCGACTGCTCACTGGAGGGAAGGATACTAGAGACAAAGTTGAAGTACTTTGGCCACATCATGAGGAGACAGCAAAGCCTAGAGAAGACAATTATGCTGGGGAAAGTGGAAGGCAAAAGGAAGAGGGGCGGACCAAGGGCAAGATGGATGGATGGCATCCTTGAAGTGACTGGACTGACCTTGAAGGAGCTGGGGGTGGTGACGGCCGACAGGGAGCTCTGGCGTGGGCTGGTCCATGAGGTCACGAAGAGTCGGAGACGACTGAACGAATGAACAACAACAACAACAAGTTGCCCAGTCTTCTGTGTGCCCAGGAGGGAGTTTCTCATCCAGTCTCAGAAATTGATTGAGGTTTGGGTTTTAGCCTGTGATTTTTTGGATTCTTGCTTGCTGAGGTGTTCCTGCAAGTATCTCTATAGATCTTAGGAAGCTGTTTCTTGATTTAAGTCATTGGCATGCTGGCTGATATCCGAACAAAGGATGGGCCAGATATGTCAATATCTTAGTCCTTTCATTGGTGGTTGCTACCGATGGATGTCAGATGGTGCATTACCAGCAAAACAGTATAATTTCTCCAGCAGTGTTGGTTGTAGACATCTTGTGATAATGTGGCATGTCTCACAGAGCCACATCCACTGTTTTAACGTGGTGAGATGTATTCCACACTGGGCATACGTATTCAGCAGCAGAGTAGCAAAACGCAAAGGCAAGTGTCTTCACTGTGTCTGGCTGCAATCCTCAGGTTGTGCCAGTCAGCTTTCATATGATGTTATTTTTAGTACCCACTTTTTGCTTGATATTCAAGCAGTGCTTCTTATAAGTAAGACATGGTCCACAGTTACTCCCAGGTATTTGGGTGTGCTGCAATGCTCCAGTGAAATTCCTTTCCAGGTAATCCTCAGAGCTTGAGATGCTTATCTGTTCTAAAGATTTATTTTTTTTTTGTCGTGTCAGGAGCGACTTGAGAAACTGCAAGTCGCTTCTGGTGTGAGAGAATTGGCCATCTGCAAGGATGAAAAGCATGTCTGCGTTTTAGATGGATTACGAATCAGCTGGTTTTTTCTGTAATAAGCAGTAAGAGTACCTAAAGCTTCGGAGAGCTAAAGCAGTTTTGAGATGTAGAGAAATGAATCGGTATCGTCAGTCTATTTCAGATGCATGCAGTGACTAGGGATGGATTTTATACCCTTCTGTCCCTAGGCACTTCTTGCATCTGAAGAAATAGTTTATAAAAACTTATGTGACCAATCTCTTTCTCTTAGGCCCCTTCTACACTGCCATATAGAATCCAGATTATCTGCTTTGAACTGGATTATATGGCAGTGTAGAATCATATAATCCAGTTCAAAGCAGAGCATGTGGATTATTGTTGGTGGATTAAGGTCATTTTGGTTGAAATGTGATCATTTTTCTTTGTTGTTTTAGTGTAAAATAAAATAAAAATATTTTTTAGAAATAGTAAAGTTATTGAGAGAGGATACATCATGATATCCTTACAGATCTGATCTTCCATTGCTCAACATCTGAGATATTTTATTTTATTTTTTTCCTCTCAACAGGTACATGAAGTTTATAAAATTTACCTGTTTTCTCTTTTCCTGGGATACATGTTACAGTTTGAAAACCCAGCTTTATTAGTGTCTCCACTACTCAGCCTTGTTGTAGCTGCACTCTTGGCAAAATACCTTCAGGTAAAAACTGGCAGATCATTTGTTTGCTCTGCATGTTCTTTGTTTCTGCTTCTCTGGAATGAGAGAGATGATGTGTGTTAGTCTTTTGCACCCCTTGAAGGCCATTTTAAACCTTTGCTACCTCTTCCTAATTGGCTGAAAAATGGTACTGTCCGTAACTGGAAATTGTAGTACCGCTGAGAAATTAGCTGTCCTCCCTTTCCATAAACAAACACTCCTGCCCTAACCATTTGTTACATTTTGTGATTCTGGCACCTTCCTTCACCCTATACAGGTGGCCCATTGAATTTCTTCACTAGCATCACAGCCCTTGATAGATTCTAGAGCAGGCAAACTTCAGCCCTTGGTAGGCTGTTAGGAATAGTGGGAGTTAAAGTCGAAAACACCTGGAGGGCTGAAGATTGCCCATGGCTGTTCTAGAGGTTCCCCACTCCTGGAAGTTGCCCATCCATGCCATTAAAACTAATAGTTGTCTTTTTTAATTGCAGATGAATACAAAAAAGGGAACACTTCTCTCACGAATGCTGAAAGTTGTTTACTTTTATTTGGTATTTACTATGACGGTGACATTAAACCTCGTAGCAAAGGTAAATCTTATCTGAATTGACATGCTTAATTTTACACAGTTGTTTGCAGTTGTTTTTCCAAAGTTGGTTGGCTGGGGGAATATATGCAAGCAAATCCACCTTATTTCTAAATCAGTGGCTCCCAAACTTATTTGGCCTACCCCCTGGAAATCAATTTTTCTAAATCTTCTCTTCTTTCTTGTATGCTTTCACTGCCCCCTTACAGTTATTTGTTGTTCATTCGTTCAGTCGTCTCTGACTCTTCGTGACCTCATGGACCAGCCCACGCCAGAGCTCCCTGTCGGCCGTTACCACCCCCAGCTCCCTCAAGGTCAGTCCAGTCACTTCAAGGATGCCATCCATCCATCTTGCCCTTGGTCGGCCCCTCTTCCTTTTGCCTTCCACTTTCCCCAGTTATTACAGTTATTACAGTTATTAATCGCCCCCAAATGCACCTGTGGCCATTACCGCCCCCCTCCCCGATTGCTGCAGCGCCCACCAGGGGGCGGTAACGCCCACTTTGGGAATCACTGTTCAAAATGAAGGCACGTCAAGCCAACTCTTACAACTCCCAGCAATATGAGGCATCACAGCCAATAGTTAGAGTACAGGAAGTTAGTGATCCAATAAGATTTGGAGGACTATAAGACTCCCATTCCTTTTATACAGAGATCCCTAAATTGTTGCATTCTTGGATAGTGGCTATTCTCTGCAGAATATGTGCACCGCTTAGAGAATTTTTTTGTTGGGGACTACAGTTCACAGAATCTTCAACTAGCATGGCCACTGAATATTGATCTGAAAGAAAATTCAGAAAAGTTGTTGTCCCTAAAAGTTATTTTTCCAGGCTCTGAAAATGAGTTGTAATTACTGCATACATTGGATGATGCAAATTTGATTGTTTCCCAAGTTGCCTGACAATTTCCTTTTCATTTGTTTTTCAGACCTTTATTTCTCATAAGGAACATGAACATTTAATGAAGGTTCTTGAAGTCAAATTTGGTTTAAACACAACCAAGTGAGTTTGAAAGAATGGTTTTCAAACTGCAAGTTGTTGTATTGCTTACTGAAGGATTGAGAATCTTATTGGTTGACAGTTGCCTTATGCATACTATTTGTATACTGAGTGGAAGCATTTTATCATGGCTTGAGCTGTGTCTTAGAAAGTGGTGGCTCATTGTCTAGAGTGGCTTAGAATTAGGAGTCTATGGGCTTTGATCCTGCAAAAATATGGAAAAGTTGTAGTAAGGGTAAAGGCTTCCCCTGACATTAAGTCTAGTCGTGTCCGACTCTGGGGGGTGGTGCTCATCTCCATTTATGAGCCAAAGCGCCGGCATTGTCCGTAGACACCTCCAAGGTCATGTGGCCAGCAGGACTACATGGAGCACTGTAGTTCTTCTCGCAGAAGCAGTAACTATTGACCTACTCACATTTGCATGTTTTTGAACTGTTAGGTTTGCATAAGCTGAGCCTAATAGCAGGAGCTCACCCTGCTTCCCAGATTAGAACCGCCAACCTTTTGGTCAACAGGTTTAACCCACTGTGCCACCAGGGGGAAAAGTTGTAGAATAGATTAATTGCTGCAAAGCCCTGTTTCTTAAGAAAATTGCCCTTTTGGGGAAAGAAACACCCTTTCTAGTCCTTATATTTGTGCCAATATACTTACGTAAAAGTTTGTGCGAACTTTTAGAAACCAGAAGAACTGCTGACTCATGAACATGAGGCTTGAGTGCATTGTAAATGTCTTGAACACTCTTCATGGACTGGCAAGAGCAAAATAAAGTTATGACAAGTACCAAGCACATAATAAGTTGTGTATATTTGCTTAAATTGTATTACTTGAGGAATTTGGTATTGTTTGGTATTGTTTGCTCAACCTATCTTAAAATGTTACAGAGCATTTTAAAAACAGAAGGCTTATAAAAACAGGACTAGGAAGAGATTGAATTTGATCAAAATCAAAGGAAGGACAATGCTGGGGGACTTAGATCTTCAGATGTTACAAGGCTCAAATTCCCATCAATCCAAACCAAGCTGGCAGGCAGGAAGAGTTGTAGATACATCTGGAGATACATTAAAGGGTCCTCACTCTTGCCCATATTTATTTATTTAATTTATTTCCTATATTTATACTCCGACCTTCTCCCCCCGAAGGGGAGATGCATAAGGACAGAGGAGTGAATAGTTAAAATGAGGGAAGAGAGAAATTGGTGGGCAAAGCAGGGAGAGCCTGAAAGGAAATGGACTGTAGGAGTACACAATTAAAGGATTCTTTGCTTAGAAACCTTATGAGAAGGTGGAAGGCTTGCTTAAATAAATAAAAAAGATATTTATCTGCTGGCAGAAAAAGACAGGAGGGAGTTAATCAAACCTTACAGCCTTCGGAACCTGCACTGAGAAAGTGCTCTCACGTATTTTTACAGATGAGCCTGAGATGACAATAGCATTGAGATGCTTGTCCTTTCGATAAGCATTGAGAAATACCCTCTCTGGCTAATAATTCTAAATACTTCTCCCCAAAGCATAGTTCCAAGGGTTTCATAGGATGCTATGATAGTTAACATGGTAGTTAACGTAGCATTATTGCACTGTAATTGTGTACTGTGAAAGGCCCTGTGTGTGTGTGTGACCATCTGAGTTCATGGCTGTCCTGTTTGCTTTTTTTTTTTTTGGATGTTCATAGGAACTTCACTGTAAATTGGTTTCTGTGCCAAGAGTCTTTTCAGACAGCATCCCAAGACCTTTTCCTGCGGCTCACTCAGTCTTCCCTTCTGCCTTTCTACATTTTAGTGCTAATTATTTGCCTGGTCTCTGTTGGTCAGGCCATATTTAAGAGAATGGGGTAAGTTGCCAGATTTTTATTATCTGGGTAGGGAATATGCATACAGATGTTTTTTGGTCTAAAACTCCCATCAGCCCTGCCCAACATAAATTTGGGAACCTTTTAAGGTTTTTGTCTTTTTCTTGGTGGATATGGAAGCTCTCTGTGAACTTTTGAGGGGACCATTGCCCACATTTGGTGGAATTTATGTTATAGCGTGTATTTATTTGCATTTTATAGATTAATGAAATAAGTAGTTATAAATAACTGATTTCTTGAAATTAACTATCAATAACTTGAAATTAACTATTGTTTCCCAAAACAATATGAACTCGAGTTACATTATCCATTACATGTTATTGAGAAATGATTTCATTAACATTAAAAAGTTTAACTTTACGGTCCCAGAGGGTGTCCTTATTAAATAAGGGAGGAGGAATAGTATATGTTTCACGCACTGGCTTGTTGCTCTGCCTTGTGCTTGGTGCTGAAGGAATGACAAAAGTTCATAGCAAAAAGGTGTGATTTGTACAACATGCCAGTGGGTTTAAGGAATGAGATGTTTTAGAAAGTAATTCTTTCTTATTTTACATAGCAAGAGAGTTTTACATTTCCTTTAACAGTTGCAATGATATTAGTAACTAAATGCTTGTTGTCACAGTGATGAGCTCTTGAAACTGTAACATTAAGTAGTTTTGCAAAACAAAATTCGAAACATAACTTCTTTGTTTTGTTATAATATTAATGTTCAATTCATTTTATCAACTGTGTTACACAAAAAAGAGGATAACTCTTAAGTCTTAAGATTTGCTGTAGGATTGTACAAATCGTTTTTTGAAAAAATGGTATTCATAACCTTTTTGAAAGAAAAATTATGTCATATCCTTTTGGCAAATGTGAATCTCCATGAACATCTGGAGACCACCTTTTGAAAACCAGTTGACTTTGTTAGAAGCCAACCCTTTGTAAAAATGATATTCACAAGCATTCATGTAACAGCACACAGGTAACTCAGCTGTTAAACTAATAAACCATATTTTTAAACTGGCAGGGACAAAGACATGCCACTGCACAAAAACATATACGTAACTAGCAGAGTTTTAAAATGTTTCTTTGAAGCTGAAATTGCAGTTGCCCAAAATTTATACTCTCCCTTGAAACCTCTTAGTTTAAAAATATACAGTCAGAAACAAAAAGCAAAGTATTCTTTAAAAAAATAACATATTTTGTTTACTCACAAACATTTTGTATTAATTTAGCATACAGGCACATTTCTTACTGAAGTTCAGTTATAGATAGGATGTAGTTTCTCTGTCTTGAGAACACAGGACATCATTCTTAATCAATAGTCCAAAGTCTTTAAGTATACATCTTATGAAAGTCCAAACTGTACAACTGTACTCACTGCTTCTCAAAAGCAAGCATATAGTAAACTGTTCTGCGTAAGTTCAAAGTACATCTGCTTCCATTGAAGTCCAAAGGCATAATGCAGCCACCTCTGCTGAGATCTAAAGCGAACTGCTAGCATTGAAGTCCAAAAGCATGCTGATACAAAATGGAGTCTTGAGTCTGAACATGCTCAATACAATTACGTCTGTAGCCCTCCCACACCAAAGAAATCAGTCAGACTGGCAATCAATATATACATACAATACAGGTTAGCAAATATATACATAACAAATAGTGAAAGCTTGGAAGGGTACTATTTCCAACACCATCTGTTCCTATGTGGCTCTGTTGCTTGCCCCAAAATTCCTGAATGTGATAAATATGATGTATTTTCTCTGCCTCATTTGCTTTCTGCTATACAATAGCATTCTGGTGAAGGTATTGCTTTAGATCAGAGACAGGGAATGCTCAAAGCCAGCAGTTCTCACCTTGTGGGTCCCCAGGTGTTTTGGCCTACAACTCCCAGGAATCCCATCCTGTTTACCAACTGTTAGGATTTCTGGGAGTTGGAGGCTAAAACATCTGGGGACCCACAGGTTGAGTACTCAAGACAGTAGTTCCCATCAGCAACTGCAGGGCTACATATTCCTTAGTGCTCATGTAGATTTAAGGGAGAGTATCATAAAAGGCACAGTTCCTTTCCCTTGTGGCATCCTTCTTAATTTGTCAGAATTTTAAATTAGTTTGTTTTTTGGACCACAACTCTCAGAATCTCTCAGCCAGCATAGCCTTTGAGTGCCTTACTAGCCTGGGGAGGTCTGTGAGGCCAAAGAAGTTAACTTCTTGAAGCTCTGTCGAGTAGATTCTGTGAATCATAGGAGTAACTCCTGTATGGTTTTTCTTCCAAATGTCACAGTGGCCAGCCTGTCGGTGAAACAACTACATTCAAAGTTGGCAGGATTGGAGAAAGGCCAGAAGTAGTGTACCACGTCCTGCACAGCATTTCCCTGGGGTTGCTTGCTGTGATGATGGAAGGGTGAGTTTTTAAGATGAGCATACAGATTTATTTTCCCTGGGAATGGTGGAGTATTGCTCTGTAGTTGCTAAAAGCTGCTAATAGAATATGACATGGAGGTTTCTGTTCTTTTTGGAAGTATATTGCTGACTTTGTGGGACAGGATTTCCACATATATATCCTTGGTGCACAGTCTACACTCAGCAATAAAACTGTTTGGACACTAAATAATGCTGTGTAGAAGTAGTTTTCAGAAGAAATGTTGGTGACTAATTCATACTGTGTTAATTATAGTGCTATCAATGATTTTATACAGGAGCTAGTGGTTGGAAAGGTGGAATGGGCCTCAAGTTTGGGGAATGTGTCATAAATCCTGTGTTGCATCATACATTTGAGACATACTTTACTGGAGAGGAAATATTTTACTGGAGGGCAGAAGAAATCTGTGTGTTTCCTTCCCTTTGTTGTTACAGTTATTTTGAGTTCTAAACACTTACAGAATTCAAAATTCAAACTGAAAGGTTGCTGTAGGATTGGATTGCTTTTGTAATCCTCTCTATAAAATCATCTACAATGTCTGATTTGAATTTGTTGGGTGGTTTTCTAGAATGAAATACGTATGGACTCCCTACGTTTGCATGATTGCAGCATTTGGAGTCTGTTCCCCAGAGCTCTGGACGACCCTTTTCAAGTGGCTCCGACTAAAGACTGTACACCCCATCTTGCTGGTGAGTTTCCTTCCCAGCTCCTCTTGTAGCCAATCAGTGATGTGCCCATTAACCAAACAGACAGACAAACAGGAAATGGAGAATAAATCAGACGAAGTGCTGAATCCTATTCTTCATCTCAAACAGTAGAACCATTGGAGAACACAGTTAACCAAAGTGGTAACCAATTCAGCAATTGACCATGCCACCTGGGGTGATTCTAGGAACAGTAACTCTGAAAGTAACTTTTCCTAGTTTTACTAACTGTGTGCTTTAGTGATATAAAAGTGTATAGCTGCAAGGACCAAAGTGGAACTCATATTCTCCTGTTTATTGTGTATATTCCAGGCCCTCGTCCTGAGTATGGCAGTCCCAACAATCATTGGCTTCAGCTTATGGAAAGAGGTAAGAATATACAAGTATTAGCAATGGTGTTATTACCCAATTAGAGTATTTGAAAAGGATTTTTATTATAAGAGCAGGTAGCAATTTCAGAAAAAACATCTATTTGTTTTATTGACTATTCTAAAGCCTTTGACTGCGTGGATCATAATAAATTGTGGCAAGTTCTTGGTGGTATGGGAATACCAAATCACCTTGTCTGTCTCCTGAGGAATCTGTATAAAGACCAAGTAGCAACAGTAAGAAAAGATCATGAAACAACAAACTGGTTCAAGATTCATAAAGGAGTACAGCAGGGTTGTATACTCTCACCCTGCCTAATTAACTTGTATGCAGAACACATCATGCGACGTGCGGGTCTTGATGAATCTAAGGCTAGAGTTAAAATTGCTGGAAGAAACATTGACAATCTTAGATATGCAGATGATACTTTGATGGCTGAAAGTGAAGAGGAGCTGAGGAGCCTTCTAATCAAGATGAAAGAAGAAAGTGCAAAAGCTGGGTTTCAGTTAAACATAAAAAACCAAGATTATGGCAACCAGAGTGATTGATAACTGGCAAATAGAGGGAGAAAACATCAAGGCAGTGACAGAGTTTGTATTTCTAGGAGTAAAGATTACTGCAGACACAGACTGCAGCCCAGAAATCAGAAAGCATTTACTTCTCAGGAGGAGAGCATTGACCAATCTTGATAAAATAGTGAAGATCAGAGACAGCACACTGGCAAAGAAGATCTGCATAGTTAAAGCAATGGTATTCTCTGTAGTACCCTATGAATGCAAGAGCTGGACCATAAGGAAGATTGAGAAAGGAAGATGGACACTTTTAATCTGTGGTGCTGGAGGAAAATTCTGTGAGTGCCTTGGACAGTAAGATGATTAAACCAGTCCATACTCCAGGAAAGAAAGACCGACTGCTCACTGGAGGGAAGGATATTCGAGGCAAAGATGAAGTATTTTGGTCACATAATGAGAAGACAGGAAAGCTTGGAGATGATAATGATGCTGGAAAAATGGAAGGAAGAGGGGTCGACTAAGGACAAGATGGATGGATATTATCCTTGAAGTGAATGGCTTGACCCTAAAGGCGCTGGGGGTGGCCACAGCTGACAGAGAGTTCTGGCGTGGGCTGGTCCATGAGGTCACGAAGAGTTGGAAGCGACTGAATGAATATAGAACAACAAAAATGGAGATTTTAGTGGCAGTTCACCATGTGTTAGGCTGGCAGGATTTTCAGATATACTTTCATGGCCCAAAATAATAGCAATAAAACTATTTGGCCACTAGATGACACTGTGCGCCTAAACACAGGCCTTGTCCCTTCATTTAAAAAGCCTGATGGTGAGGACATTTTAAGATTCATTCTCTCTCCCTCTCTCATAATGAGAATTCTGTTGAGATTATTGGAATATATTTTCTACTGAAATGAATAGAATGGGTTCTGCTATGAGAGGCAGTCTGTTACATGGCAAGTTTGATGGTATAGCAAAAAGCAATTTTATGGTATAGTTTGAGGGTAAAAGGTAGAAAGAGTGTCTTTAGTGTCCTTTCCTGTGTTATTTAAAGTTCTGTAATTTGTCTTCCCACAGTTCATAGCCTTGGTGCTTCCTTTTAGTTTTTTCCTAGGATAATGGGAGAACTTACAGAACTGCAAGAATTTTATGATCCCGACACTGTAGGACTCATGACCTGGATCAAGTAAGTAATCCCATTCTTTTTTGAAAAAAAATATATRATTAGTTACATATTTACAGTATTCTAAAAGAAAAGAGGGGTTTTTAAAAAAGTGGGAATAGAGTGGGGGGGGGGGGGGGAAGAACACCGAAATTACTAGGAGTCTGGAGAAGGAGGTTGGGAAATGAGAAATATAAAAATAAAAGACTTCCAGTCTTCTCCACCATGGTTTGTATCTTCACTTCTTATTTCTTTATATTATTTCTGTCCCCTCTTCGATGGTTTCCCATAGGTGACAATTTTTCTTATTGTCTTCAGTTTAGTTCTATTATCAATTTTATTTTTTCTTGTGTCATAAAATCTCTTATTGGAGTCCAATCCTTTACTTTTTGTATCCCTCTGTATGTTTGTTCAGTAGTTGGGTCAACCTTAAATAATACAAAATTTTTGACCCTTGAGGGATTCGATTTAAGAAGGGAATGGCATTCCTACTTTTGGTATGGGAAAAAGAAATTAGAAAAGAATTTTGAAAATCATTTCATCAGGTTGGTTCTTATTGAAATCTGAGGAAAATACAAAAATATGGGGAAAATACAAAGACCCCTTTATGGATTTCTCCTTTAGAAGCAAGACATAGAAGGGAAATGGGCCAAGATAAATGGCTGGTTTTCAGTGACATACTGAAAAAACAGAATGGAAATATTATTTTTTAAACACAAGAAGGAATTAATAAAGTGGACAAGAACATATCTTGATACCACTGTGGACAAGTAAGAGAATATTATAACAGAGATAAGAAAGTAGGATTTTTAGAGAAAGAGACTTTTTGGGATAGGATAATGAAAATAGATAAGTTAATCACAAGAATTTACAAAAAACAAACAAAGAAACCCTGCTAGAATGTTTGACCAAAACAGAACAAGTCAAAGATTGTATGATCAAATGGGCTGCAAATATTGGGCATGCAAATTAAAGTGGAAGAATGGGGAAATATATATATTTATTTATTTCATATATTTATATCCCGCCCTTCTCCCACAAGGGGGACTCAGCGTGGCCTCACATGAGCATCAGAGGATATTAACAGCATAAATACCATAAAAATTACAATTCACAATAAAATCATTTTAAAACATTGTACAACATCATCTGTAAAATTTAACAATAAATTAATAGATTAACGTGCCAGTAAAACGAAGCCGAGCCGGGAGAATCCATGTCACAAAATCCAAATTTCCTTTTCCTATTGTCGCTGGCCTCTAATCGAACGCCTGGCCCCAGAGCCAGGTCTTCAATAGTCTTCTAAAGGACAGGAGGGAGGTGGTTAGCCTGATGTCCTTAGGGAGAGAGTTCCACAGATGGGGGCCGGCACTGCCGAGAGGGCCCTGTCTCTCGTCCCCACCAACTGCATTTGCGAGAGTGGTGGGACCAAGAGCAGGGCCTCTCCTGATGATCTTAAGCTTCGTGATGGTTCATAGCAGGATGTACGTTTGGAGATACGTTGATATGGAATCAAAAATTAAAATTCACCTAGTAATTCTTTAAATTGTTTGATTTCCCTTTGTTGCTGGATAGCTTCTTTTTAAATCTAAGTGTGATGAAGTAGACATTATTCAGTTTGAATCACCCATCAAGAAGGGAGAGGTTAGAGGTTCCAAAAGCTGTCTAGTCCAGATTATTGCTAATAGAATAATGTCCACTGCTAAAGCATTCTTGAGAGGTGGCCCTCCGTTTTAAAACTTCTGTTTCAAAAGAGAGGGTGGGTTTGGGTGTTCACCTCTTCATGTGACCTGGTAAGTAATAAATGCAGACCTCCACACTTAGTTCACAAGGATAAGAAGTATGATTAGAGGAAGGAACATTAGCCCATCTCCTCTACCATATGGTTTGAGATTTCATTAAAGCAACTCCATGGCCTGAATGCTTTCTCCATGTTCACACCATGATGAGATACAAAGAAAGAACGCTTCTATTGATGTGATAGAGGAAGACGGCCCTTTTGTGTATCCTGTTTCTTAAAGCCTAACTAAATTACTGTTTTGGATTGCAACCATCAAATCAGCATGGCAGCATTTTAATGGCTGTAGGATTCTGGCAGTTGGTAATCCCTAAGAGCGAGAAAGAGGATATTGTTATTTGGCTTCTTGTTTCATTTTGTTTTTGTAGAAGGCAAGCTCCTATTGCCGCTGTGTTTGCTGGCAGTCCTCAATTGATGGGTGCGATCAAACTGTGTACTGGCTGGATGGTGACAAATCTGCCCCTGTATAATGATGAGGATCTGCAAAAGAGGAATGAACGCGTAAGCCTTCTCTATCTCTATGTGTTTCTAAAACCTGGAGTACTCTTTTGTATTTATTTTGTATGTATTTATTTTGGAAGAGTTTTAAAAGGTAAAGATTTCTCCTGACATTAAGTCTAGTTGTGTATCCGACTCTGGGGGGTAGTGCTCATCTCCATTTCTAAGCCGAAAAGCTGGCATTGTCCATAGACACCTCCAAGGTCATGTGGACAGTATGATTGCATGGAACGCCGTTACCTTTCTGCAGAAGCAGTACCTATTTATCTACTCACATTTGCATGTGAGTTGTAGTTCAGTAACATCTAGCGGGCTACTGTGAATCCTCCTCCAGATTTATATCACTCCAGGTGTCAAGTATATGCCAAGTCTTGTTTAAAATCTTCACTTCAGCCTACAGCAATATTTGTCAGAAATATTAAAAATTAACTAGGTATTTTAAATTACAAAAAATATGAGTCAAGCACTGAAAGGGTTAAATGGATGCAATGACTCAGCAAAAGTAGGTGTGCCTGTAGCTTAGTATCCCTCAGTGTTAGTTTCCCTCAGTATGAAGAGGCTTCATTCCGAGAGATGCCTCAGTCTGAGAGAGGCCTCAGTGTAAGGTAAACCTCGGTGTTAGTAGGCCTCAGTGTGAGGTGTGTGGTGCAGTGGGCTAAACCCCTGTGCCGGCAGGACTGAAGACCGACAGGTCGCAGGTTCGAATCCAGGGAGAGGCGGATGAGCTCCCTCTATCAGCTCCAGCTCCCCATGTGGGGACATGAGAGAAGCCTCCCACAAGGATGATAAAAACATCAAATCATCCAGGCGTCCCCTGGGCAACGTCCTTGCAGACGGCCAATTCTCTCACACCAGAAGCGATTTGCAGTTTCTCAAGTCGCTCCTGACATGACAAAAAAAAAAAGTGTGAGGGAGGCCTCAGTGTGTGAGAGGCCTGATGTGAGAAGGTTTCAGTGAGAGAAGGCCCAGGTTGAAGGCCTCATGTGTAAAGCTCCAATGTGAAGGTTGCTGTATGTAAAAAAAAAAAAGCTACTGTGTGAAGCTCCTGTATAAGTTTGTTGTGAGAGGAAGCTCCGTGAGAGTGAAGCTGTTTATCTGCATGAGAAAGAAGCCCAGCATGGAAGCAAAGAAGGAAATATAAATAACTTTATTTCTGTTATGGAAACTTTGTACTTGTAAATAGTGCAATCATGTTATTTTACTATAAAGAAAAGCCTCCTAAGGAAGATATAACATTGGTCTGTGTGTTTTTGTTCTTCTTATCACTTTTGGCTACTGGTGCTGGGTCACGCTGCCACTAATAAGTTACTCTGCTAAATGTTTATGAGGAGGGTCTTTTGTTAATAAGCCCACTCGCCCAACAATATCCTGCAATTGATAGTAGTGTATTAATGATGTTATTTTACATTTGGATTGTGTATCTTTACATTTGGCAGATTTTTCAAATCTATTCTAAAAGATCCGCTGATGATATCTATAAGATACTCACGTCCTACCAAGCCACCTATCTGGTTATAGAGGACTCCATTTGCAATGAAGTGGGGCCTGTGAGAGGATGCCGAGTTAAAGACTTATTGGACATTGCGAATGGCCATGTAAGTAAAAGAATCACAAAGTTCGAGAGTTGGACTGGGGTATCATCCTGCTCCCAGGTTAAAAGTGTTATTTTTCCTGATTTCTTCCAGGTGTATTATGAAGAAAATGATGGCTATGGATACTCAAAGTACGGACGTTTTTGCCAGGAGATCAAAATGAACTATTCTCCCTATGTGAACTACTTCACTCGAGTGTACTGGAACAGGTCCTATTACGTATACAAAATTAACACTGTCATATCTTTTCAGTCCTGAGAAGGCGTGCAGATGGCATCCTCTTTAAAGACTGCATTGATTTGCAGCATTCAGAAAAGCAAGGAGGCTATTTACAAACTTTTCTTTTTTTATTATATATATATATTGCCCAGAAGCTGATACACATTATTGAATACGTGCAAAATAGCCCTTACTTAGCATATCTGACTGGAAAATTACAGACCGACTGCAGCATGGCAAGAGATACAAGATACACTCCAGGAAGATGACAACGAAGCGATGAGTGTCTTCCAATTTTCCAAAAATCTCTTCACAGCATTTGTGGTTTAACTAATCTTGTACTAAATTGTGCATTGATTCCCCCCCCCCCCCCGATGTCAGTTTTATAGCAATTACTAGCTTTAGCTAGATTAATTTACTGTACTAGATAGAAGAAAGGGAATGTATGGATTTGTTGGGAATGACCCTCAAGCTGTGCGTATAGACTGTCATGTTTTTAGCTTTGGGCTCCTTCCATAGAAATTGAAAAGGCAATGGACATTTCTTGGGATTGGGAAGCCGTTGAAAAGGAACTTGAGTTTAAGGATGCTTTCGCAGAACTTTGGAAAATAATATTTTAGATCAGATTGATCATGCTATCTGAGAGATCCTGCAAAGTATAGTCCTAAAAAGTAAACATCTCAGTTTGTCCTTTTCCTGAGGCTGATTCTTCGCAATCAAGAATCCTGGCTATGTTCTGCTTTTGGATTCAAGACAGTGCCAGAGCTGTCAGTGATTTTGACAGCACACAATTAGATTCTATATTTGGCCAATCAATCAATAATGACATGGATCATACTCTAAAAAGTCAGCACAAACAATAGAATGTGTGCCTTTGGTTTATGTTTTGAGAAATCAATACTCCAAACAACTTTCAAAGTGCATATGGGTGATTTTTTTAAAAAATGTGTTAAGCAGACACTTTCATGTCACGTCTTCTAGTTGGAATAAACATTTTGACCCACAGACAAGAAAAGCTCAGAATCTTACATTCAAGGATGCTTAACTTAATGTTTTTGCAGAGTTCAGCTACTTCACCGGACTCTGTGCCTGCTTTAACATAAAGAAGAATCTCATAGTTTTTCATAGCAGACCAAATGTGGCCATTCTCCACAGTTTGCATTTAGATGTACTGTAACTAAGAAGTCACAGATTGAAGACAAAGCTGGCAACAGTTTATGAGAGGGTCATTTTTTTCTGAAATTTATTTGTATGTTACTTTTTAAATGGTTGTTATTCTCACTTCAGTTGTTGTTGTTTTTGTAATTTGATTTTTGAGTTTGATTTATTGCTCATTTTTCTGCATTTTCATCCATGGTCTAGTTTTATTTAAGTGTAGCTGTGAAAACATTTCCTGAGTGCCTGCTGAGAGAGATTTTTGTCTAAAATTACAACTGATATTCACCTGCTGACTTTAAATATTTATATTTCAGATGCATGTGAATGACCATGCAGAGTGAGAAAAAGTACTAAGCAAATGTTTGTACCATACGCTTGATACTGAGGGTATTTATTTATGGGTTAATTTTTATATCTGCCATATGTGAGTCAAAATACCTGGCTGCAAAATTCTGAACAACGAACCAAGCCTTACCAAAGGCTAAATTCAGAGTTGGTTGTGCTTAGACTGAACCCATTGGCACCAATGGGATGTAAATTAATCATGGCTATCATCAATTCTGTATGAGAAAAATGTATAGTAATTATTTTCCAGAGTACAACTTTTGCAGAATTCCTACAATCCTCATAAATCTTGCTGGGAAATTCTGAAAATTATAATCTGGAGAAGCAACACTTCTATTACACTCAATTTGACTGATTTCAATTTTTTTTAGTTGAATTTAAAATTCTGCCTTGTCTCCCGTAGGATAATAATCTAAAAAAGTTTCTAGAATTTTAATCACAATGAGATCATGATTTGGGTATGGAAAAGATACATATATATACGAAGTACTGTTGAATGACTCAATGTAAAACCAACTTTTGTAATTGATGTGTTTCTAGACAGTCGTTTTGGAAGTGTGAGGCCTTTTTTTAATCGTACAAATATCCGTACTCTCCAAATGAACATATGTCTCTGATGGGAATATTTCTGTAGCTGCGAAGGTCAACAAATGCACTGTGGCAAGGGAAGTTAGTTTTGTGTATTTTTTTGTGTCTCTAGAAATGGTGCTGGGTGGACTTTTTCTTTTTTTAAGAATAGGGCTAAACTCCTTCTGAATTTGTCACTGGTAGTCCTTTGTCCAAATAGTGATGTATGTATGTGTGGACCCATCCTGCAGTGATGGGATGACACTCATGTCAGACAGACCACAGATAACCATTGTGTCTGGTGTGCTGAACCAATAGAGTGGCACAAATGGACATTGGCAAGCATTTCTTGCTATGCGGCTTCTAATGTCCATATATTCAATTTTTCCCCACTACTTTACTTCTTCAACCCTAGCAGTTCCACTCTAATCATGGTCAGATATCAGCTGTTGAGATAGGCTTCCTTTAGGTCAGTGCTGTCCAACCTGTGGCCCTCCAGGCATCTGGGACTCCATCTTGCACAAGCCTGGCCACCTTGTCCAGTGGTCAGAAGTTCTGGAAGCTGATGTCCTCCAGGAGGACCAAAGGTTGGACACCGCTGCTTTCGGTATTAATTCAGTGCTGAGTATGGAGCATGGGGTGAAACCTCAAACATTGTACCCATCTTACTACCATAATCATGTCCAATGAGAGCTGTGTCTTTTCTACAACCAGATGATTCATTTAGATTATTTAGAGCAGTGGTTCTCAACCTGAGTCCTCAGATGTTTTGGCCTTTAGCTCCCAGAAATCCTCACAGCTGGTAAACTGGCTGGGAATTCTAGGAGTTGTAGGCCAAAACAACTCGGGGACGTATATGTTGAGAACCACTGGCATATGCATTGGTATTTATGAGAAGGCGGAAAGATCTAACGCAGTGGTTCTCAACCTATGGGTCCCCAGGTCTCAACCCACAGGTTGGGAACCACTGATTTCGAGAGAGCCATAAATATCCACTTGTTAGCACTTATAGTGAAATATTCCACACTGAAGATAAACCTGACCTCTTGTCAGTATCTTAATTCAAACTATAGTCCACAAATATCACCCTGATCTAAGTAGTGATGTAGCTTGTGGTGATCACGCTTGTAGAAAAGTCTGAAAGTTGTTTTTTTGTTTTTGTATTTTAAGTGCAAGAAAACTGTCAATTGTTCAATCAAAACAATATTGGAAATCAAATTGGAAGTTGGTAGGTAAGGTCAAAATATATTTTAAAAATCACAGTTTTGGATTATAGCTCCAGTGCCCCTCAGTCCCCATGGCTGTGGTGGGGAGTTCTGGGGGAAATAGTTCAAATTATTTTTCCTACACTGTGGGGGAGGTAAAGGGTCAACACTTTCTACAAATCATTGAGAGTTAGGCTTACAGATCTCATGTTGGAAGTTTTTATTTGTATTTATATTTTGTATAACGTGCAGACTTTGGAGGCAATGAGATTTGGATACTTTGCCCAAAGTAGCTGTTTGTCATGCATACCTGCTGTGGTTCTAATGAAAGAAGAAATGATTGTAATTCTTAAATATGGAAAAGAGTCCAACTTGTTGCTGCAATGTTCATCCAGTTGGGAAAATGTGCCTTGTAAACTTTTATTAAAGAAGCAAATGCAACCCTTTGCACTCTTTGCAAGTATTTCTTCAATGTACAGTTGAACAGGTGAAGTATTTTCTTTTAATAAGGTTAAATACCCTTTCTCTCCTCTATAAAAGTAAATCTTGGTGGTACAATAAGCAACCTGCTCAAACCATCTTGTCCACTTTTGATCTACTACACCAGTGTTTTCAACCTGGGGGTCAGGATCCTGGAGGGGTTTCAGAGAGGCCATCAAAGACCAAAATAAAACACATATTTCTGATGGTCCCCTTTGGCAGAGAAGGCTGAAGATCTCTCCTGCCAAAGAACCCCTTTGGCAAAGAAGGCTGAAGATCTCTCCGCCTGTCCTTCTCTTCCTTTTTGGAAAGACGGCGAATCCTCTCACCAAAAGCCACCCAGCCTGCTCTCTGGATGTAGATGAGCCAACACTCCAAAACTCAAGGTCGATGCCCAGCAAATCCTTCCAGTATTTTCTCTTGGTCATGAGAGTTCTCTGTGCCAAAATTAGCTCAATTCCGTCATTGGTGAAGTTCAGAATTCTCTGATTGGAGAACTATAAATCCCAGCAACTACAACTCCCAAATGTTAAGGCCTATTTTCCCCAAACCCCACCAGTGTTCACATTTGGGTATATTGAGTTTTCGTGCCAAGTTTGGTCCAGATCCATCTTTGTTTGAGTGCACAGTGCTCTCTGGATGTAGGTGAACTACAACTCCAAAACACAAGGTCAATGCCCACCAAACCCTTCCAGTGATCACGCTTGTAGAAAAGTCTGAACGTTTTTTGAATTTTAAGTGCAAGAAAACTGTCAATTGTTCAATCAAAACAATATTGGAAATCAAATTGGAAGTAAGGTAGGTAAGGTCAAAATATATTTTAAAAATCACAGTTTTGGATTATAGCTCCAGTGCCCCTCAGTCCCCATGGCTGTGGTAGAGAGTTCTGGGGAAAATAGTTCAAATTATTTTTCCTACACTGTGGGGAGGTAAAGGGTCAACACTTTCTACTAATCATGTGTTGATCATGGGGTTTCTGTGAGGGAAGTTTGGCCCAAATCCATAGTTGCTGGAGTTCAGAATCCTCTTTGATTTCAAGTGAACTATAAATCCCAGCAACTACAACTCCCAAATGTCAAGGTCTATTTCCCCCAAACTCCACCAGTGTTCACATTTAGGCATATTGAGTATTCGTGCCAAACACAGGGGAACTCCAGACAAGAAACAATCAGGAACACCTAATCACCTCTCAACAAAGGAATTTTCCCAGGCAGTAACAAGCCAGACCTAAAACCTGTCAGGCCATCAAATGCTAATCAAGGTGGCCAATTGAAACATTCACACCTACCTCCAACAGACAAGAGTTCTTTCTCCCACCCAGGACCTTCCACAGATATATAAACCCAATTTCCTGTTTCCAACAAACCTCACAACCTCTGAGGATGCTTGCCACAGATGCAGGCGAAACGTCAGGAGAGAATGCTTCTAGAATGTAGAACATGACCATACAGCCCGAAAAACCTTCAACGACCCACTGGATGAATGTCTCTCGGAACCCCTGCTCCCTTCTTCTGGTTGGCGCGCTTGGCAGAAAGGGGGCGAGGCTTGTACCGCTCTGGCCACGCCCTCTACGTGGAATCAATGCGAGCCGTCGGGTGTCCTCAGTCGCGTTGACTCTCTCCAAAGAGGGAAGAACTTCGCCTTGAGGACGATGAGGCGCTTGAGCCAAACTCTCCTCCTCCTCCTCCTCGTCCTTCACTCTGAAATGCCGGTCTCAGCCCGCAACGACCACCGGCCGCGCTTCTTCCCTCCGCTGCCCCCGCCGAGGGCCCTGGAGGTGGACGAGATGGCCCCGCTGGGCTCGGAAGTGGCGCGCCTTCGGGCTAAAGGGGCCGAGGCTCGGCTGACATACTGGGCTCCCAGGCAGAGGCGCCTCTTCGTGGTGCCCGGCAGCGGGCAAGTGCTGGCCGTGGGCTCCTTGCTGGGCTTGCGGCGCCTCAGCCTCTGGGCCTCGGCCCGCGACCGAGGGAGGCCAATGCGCCTGCGCCGCTGGGAAGTCGCCGTCAAGCCCAGCCGTCGGAAGGAAAGGGAAAGAGAACAAGAAAGGGAGAGGAGGGGAAGCCGGCCCCGCCCCGCCCGCGCCCTCCTTCAGCCCCGCGGGCCCCTCTACAAGGTCCGCGTGCCCGTCGGGGCGCCGCCCGGGGAGCCCATCTTCACCGTGCCCGGCTTCGAGGAGGACGGGAGCTGGTTCGAGATGGACGCCCCCTCCAGCCCCGCCGCCTCCTTCCCGCTCCAGCTCGACCCCGGCAGCGGGCGCCTCTCCCTCAGCAGCGCCCTGGACAGGGGGGGCCGCGCCGAGGTGCGCATCAAGGTCCACCGCGCCCACGGGGAAGGTCAGGCCGCCGGGAGGGGCGCCAGGGAGGGTTGCGGGGGGGGGGGCTTCTCTCGGGAGGGAGGCGTTGGGCTGGGTGACCCTTGGGGTCTCTTCCAGCTCTGGGAGTCTCCTTCTGAAGTCAGGAGGGCTTTGATGGTGTCCTCCTGCATGGCAGAATGGGGTTGGACCGGGTGGCCCTTGGGGATCCCCTCCAACTCTAGGATGAATCTTGTAGGAGAGGCTGGATGGTTATCTGCCCGGAGGGTTTTAATGTGCCGCCTTCCTCCTCCTCCTCTTCTTCCTCCTCTTTCCTTTCTTCTTTTCTTTCTTCTCATCCTCTTCTCCCTCGATCTCTACTTCCTCTTTTCTCTCCTCTTCCTGTCCATCTCCTCCTCTTCTTCTCTTTCTTCTTTACCCTCGCCTCTTTTTCTTTCTTCTCTTCCTCCTCCTCCTCCTCTTCCTCTCCCTCCATCCCCTCTTCTTCCTTTTCTCCCTCCCCCTCCTCTCCATCTCCTCCTCCTCTTCTCCTTCTTCTCCTCCTCTTCCTCCATCTTCCTCTTTTCCCCTCCTTCCTCCTCTTCCTCTCCCTCCATCTCGTTTTTCTTCCTCTTCTTCTCCTCCTCCTCCCCATCTCCTCTTCTCCTTTTTCTTCTCCCTCCTCTTCTTCTTCCTCTTTACCCTCACTTCCCTTTCTTTCTTCTCTTCCTCCTCCTCTTCTTCTCCTCCCTCCTCTCCATCTCCTCCTCCACCTCTCCTCCTCCTCCTCTCCCTCCATCTCTTCTTCCTCTTTTCCCCTCCTTCCTTCTCTTCCTCTCCCTCCATCTCCTGTTCTTCTTCCTCTTCTTCTCCTTCTCCTTCTCTCCATCTCCTCTTCTCCTTTTTCTTCTCCCTCCCTCCTCTTCTTCCTCTTTACCCTCTCTTCCTTTTCTTTCTTCTCTTCCTCCTCCTCTTCTTCTCCTCCCACCTCCTCCTCTCCATTCCCTCCTCTTCTCCTTTCCATCTCCTCCTCCTCTTTTCCTTCTTCTCCTCCTCTCCCTCCATCACCTCCTCCTCTTCTCCTTCTTACTGCGCTCTTTCTTCCTCTTCTCCTTCCTCCTCTTCTCCCTTCTCCTCCTCCCCTTTTCTTCTTCTCCTTTCTCCTCCTCTCCCTCCATTGTCTCCTCCTCTCCTCTCTCACCTCTTCTTCTCCTTTTTCCTCCTCTTCTTCTCCTTCTTCCGCCTCTCCCTCCTCCTCTTTCTGTTCCTTCCTCTCCCTTTCTTTTTTCTTCTTCTTTTCCTTCTTCCTCTCCCTCCACCTTCTCTTCCTCCTCCTCCTTCTCAATGGCAAAATGGGATTGGACCGGATGACCTTGTGATTGCTTCCAACTATATGACTCTACGGCCCCATCTACACTGCCCTACAATCCAGATTATCAAAGTAGATAATCTACATTATCTGCTTTTAAACCAAATTATGTGAGTCTGCACTGTCATATAATCCAATTCAAAGCAGCTAATAAGCCAGTGTCGATAGGGCCTTTGACTCTACAGTTCACATGAGTTGTAAATTAGATGACTGTCTGTTAGGAGGGCTTTCATTGCATCCTCCTCCTCTTCCTTCCTCCTTCTATTCCTCTTCTTCCTGCAGAGCTGAATGGGGTTGGACTGAATGACCCCTTGGGGTCTCTTCCAACTCTATGAATTTCTATGATTTATAGGAGTTTTTGTTTACAGACTATTTAGCCTTCCCTATCAAAGATTCCTCACTACTCACAAAACTAAGGTTCCTAGGATTCCATTGTATAGAGTAGGCATGGGCAAACTTTGGCCCTCCAGGTGTTTTGGACTCTAACTCCCACAATTCCTCACAGCCTCAGGCCCTTTCCTTTTCCCCATCAAATCGCTTAAGCTGAGAGGGGAATCAGGATTTCCGAGATGCTTAGGTGGGGCATGGCCCAAAGAAGCTCGGGAACTATTTATTTCAGCCCTTCTCCTTTGGCCATTTTCTTTTCCAGCTGCTATTCTCTGGGGACAGCTTGGTGGAAGTAGTATGGCCCAACAAAACTGCACCGAACAACCTTTGAGCAAAAAAAAAATGGCCAGAGCAGAAAGTGACTAGAGCAGGCACTCCTCAAGTTACAAACATCTGATTTACAAATGACTCATAGTTAAGAAAATGACAGAGACAACAGGAAGAGAGAGAAATCTACCCCTCAGAAGGGAAATTAACTTCTGCAAGAGTTGTCATGAGGAAAAGGTGTCTCTACTGAAGCTTTCTCACCAAACCTCGTTTCCACAGGAAGCGAGATTTTTGAAGATCCAATTATCACAGGGATAGAAAGTGAGGTGAGATATTCTGAACAGGGTCACAGACATCCATAGAGACACCACAGGGGTTTCTGTGCTATCCAAAACTAAAAGATATATACCCTGGTGGCATAGCGGGTTGAATTTCTGATCTGCTGAACTGGCTGACCAAAAGATTGGTGGTTTGAATCCAGGGAACAGGGTGAGCTCCCGCTGTTAGGCCCTGCTTCTGCCAACCTAGCAGTTCAAAAACATGCAAATGTGAATAGATCAATAGGTACTATTTCTGCAGGAAGGTAATGATGCTCCATGCAGTCATGCTGGCCACATCTTGGAGGTGTCTACAGACAATGCCATCTCTTTGGCTTCAAAATGGAGATGGGCACCACCGCCCAGAGTCGAACAGGACTAGACTTAATGTCATGGGAAAGCTTTAATATATATATCAGCCCCCAGTGGCATAGTGAGTTGAACCGCTGAGCTGCTGAACTTGCTGACCGAAAGATTCGCGGTTCAAATCCGGGGAGTGAGGTGAACTCCTGCTGTTAGGCCCAGCTCCTGCCAACCTAGAAGTTCGAAAACATGCAAATGTGAGTAGATCAATAGTTATCGCTTCGGCAGGAAAGTAACGGTGCTCCATGCAGTCATGCTGGCCACATAACGTTGGAAATGTCTACAAATGTGACAATGCCGGCTCTTCAGCTTAGAAATGGAGATGAGCACCACCCTCCAAAGTTGGACATAACTAGACTTAATGTCAGGGGGAAACTTTACCCCCCCCCCCAATATATATACATATATACATATACATATACATATACATATACATATACATATACATATATATATATATATATATATATATATATATATATATATATATATATATATATGGCTGAAGGTAGATTTAAAAATGTACTTACCCAGACTTGCAGACAAATTCAACTTAAGAACAAACCTACAGAACCTATTTTGTTTGAAACTTGGGGACTGCCTGTAATAAGCACTCTTTCACCTTTCTCCCCAGTTCTCTACTTAACACTGTTGCAAGGGAGCTTTTTTGTTTTGCTTTGCTTTGCTTTGTTTTGTTTTGCTTTGTTTTTCATTAAGGCAGTTCCATACAATTATCAGTCCAGATTTCTCCCAGGAAACACTAATTTGGGAAAGTTACATCTCAAAGGGAATTCCTCCCCCTCCCCCAAAAGTAATTTTCCTTCAGGTTTTGGTCCCAGATTTCAAACGACTGTGATTTTCTCCAGTCTTTACATTTGTCAGATTTCAGTTTGCCTTGTGTAAAGGTTTCAAGCGGTTGAAGTAGGCGGGGAATGTTGATATCCGGTGCAAAACATCACAAGCAAATGAGGGAAATACTCCAGAAACTGTGAATCCTATTAGTATCAGTCAACAGTGTGCAGGTTCACAATAGGAGGGAAGTCATGGTTCGTTTGGACCAAACTTCAGTCTAATTGAAAACTGCCGTTTCATATTGGTTGACCACTGCTTTGTTTTTTAAAAAATACAGAAATAATTTCACTGGGTGTCTGTAATTTCATGCACTGCTTCGTGTCTCCCTTTTGAGAGAAAGATGGGAATTGAAATATTTGTTTATTTAAAGCAGTGTTTCTCAACCTTCCTAATGGCGTAACCCCTTAATACAGTTCCTCATGTTGTGGTGACCCCCAACCATAAAATTATTTTCGTTGATACTTCCTAACTGTAATTTTGCTGTTGTTATGAATAGTAATGTAAATATTTGATATGCAGGGTGTATTTTCATTTACTGGACCAAATTTGGCACAAATACTCAATACACACAAATCTGAATACTGGTGGGGTTGGGGGAGGGGGTTGATTTTGTCATTTGCAAGTTGTAGTTGCTGGGATTTATAGTTCACCTACAATCAAAGAGGAGCCCCGGTGGCGCAGTGGGTTAAACTGCTGAACTGCTAAACTTGTTGGCTGAAAGGTCGCAGGTTCAAATCCAGGGAGCGGCGTGAGCTTCCGCTGAAAGCCCCAGCTTCTGCCAACCTAGCTGTTTGAAAACATGCAAATGTAAGTAGATCAATAGGTACTTTGGTGGGAAGGTGATGGCACTCCATGTAGTCATGCCGGCCACATGACCTTGGAGGTGTCTATGAACAACGCCGGCTCTTTGGCTTAGAAAGGAGATGAGCACCATCCCCAGAGTCAGACACGACTGGACTTAATGTCTGGGGAAACCTTTACCTTTACCTACCTAAAATCAAAGAGCATTCTGAGCTCCACCAACGATGAAACTGAATCAAACTTGGCATACACAACTCCCATGACCAACAGGAAATTCTGGAAGGGTTTGGTGGGCACTGACCTTGAGTTTTGGAGTTGTAGTTCACCTACATCCAGAAAGCCCTGTGTACTCAAACAATGATGGATCTGGACCAAACTTGGCTTGAAAACTCAATATGCCCAAATGTGAACACTGGTGAAGTTTGGGGAAAATATAAATTGTTTTATGTTGATTTTAAATAGTGGCTGTATCTGTTCCAATCTGAACCCCACCAACGAGAGAATTGTGCCAAACTCCCCATACAGAACCTTCATGACCAACAGGAAATACTGTGTTTTCTGATGATCTTCGGTGACCCCTCTGACACCCCCTCACCCCCCCCCCAGGGGTTCCAACCCCCAGGTTGAGAAACACTGGTTTGAAGCATTTAATTTTCATCTCATGACCCCAGACAATGTGCAGTGTAT